TTTTGAGTGATTAAAATGACGCTCATATTTCTGTGATGTCTCAGCTGCGTAAATAATTTTAGCACTCCAGGATGGCTGGAGGTTTGAGACATCATGTCATCCAAGATCACCAAGTGGTTTTGATCCGATGGAAATAAATCATCATCCTCGAATGAAAGCGGGAGACCTTGAATGAATCGAATACTTTTATTACAAAGATCATCATACATAGGTTGATAAGATGTAAAAAACCACACGATGTTTTCAGGCATTTCAGTTAAACATTGCATACAATTTTCCAAAATACTTTTTACAAAAAAGGTTTTTCCACAGCCTGACGGACCAGCAATTTGTACACTGAATGGCAATTTTAGTCTAGCGTCAAAATCAGTTTCCATTTTTAATACCCGAATGGTTCTGTACTGCCGTCAGCAAACAACCTCCTTTTATCAAAAATCACACGAAACCTTTTCACAAATGAAACATTCGCGAGAGTGAGATCTTTTTTATCTCTCTTGATGACATCCTGTTGAGTTTGCAAAAATCTTCCCCTTTCTCCAGCCACATACCCCTCCACCAGCAGCGCTAAGCTGTCAAAATTGATGTGATCAGATGAAATGAATGACTGTGTGATACCCTTAGCCTTTATCACCACCTGCTGGCGGTCCCGGGTTTTGTAAGCATACGTTTTTGGACCGGCTGATGAAAATTCCGTGATGGAATCGCCGTGCAGTTCATCGGTTAAATCCCCCAGCAGCGGTCCTGTTGGTAAAACACACTCGTTCTCTTTGACAGAATAAATTATAGAATCTGTATCGTAATAAATGACGCGATTTCCCAGTTTGTTCAACGCATTTAATAATTTCAATCTGGCATAAGTTGTGGTGAAAGCGGCGATAAAAATGTTGTTGCTTCTGCCAGGAGTCGTTAGGCATTTTTCTGCCAAACTGTGTTGCACCAGAACGGCTCCTGAAGTGAGAAAACTGAAGAATTTAACATTGTATCTCCCTGAAAACAGAATGTCAAAAAATTCATCAGGTTTTTGAACAAATGTGGTTTGTACAAGATCATCTCTTTGACCAAACTTTCCCCAGAGTGAATTGAGACATAATTTTGAAATGGCACGCTTAGCAGGATTGTGCTGAATCTTAGACGCATCTAATAGTATTCCCTGACGAAGTTGGTAGTCCTGAATGTATTTTCTTTTTGAGTCATCGTCAATCAATCCTTCAGGAAAACCAGACGCTTGTTGTTTCTGCTTCAAAAACGTGTTAATGTAACCTGCGAACACATCTTTACTGCTTTTCTCAAAATCCCAGACTTCAATCATTTTCAACAGACTGTAACCTGAATCCAAAGCGTAATTGAACTCTACACTCACCCAAACGCCCGTCAAAGCACGTTGAGACGCGCTGTGTGAACAAGAATCAGATTGATTATTCATTTCAGCGCATGTGCGACACAGTGTAAAAACGAGTTTACCTTTGGATGTTTTAAAAGGCAGAACAGGGAAAAACAGTTTTCTGGGTGGCAAAACGACAGCTTTAATCAAACCAAAATAGTGACTCGGATCTCTGAAATTTTTAACATGAATTTTGGGATGGCCTATGGGGTAAGTCTGTGTGGCGTTTACATAAGGGTACAGACTCGTAAAATCCACATAGTGGATTTTTTCACCGCTCTGAGCAGAATGCCTCAGCCGAACCGGACAAGTTCTGCCTCCATACAGGGCTTCACGAGGTAAAAGAGGAGCCGGCGGTGGATCAAATCTTGAGACAAACTGTTTCACGTCCGGATCAGTTTTTACCATCTCCTGCCAATCATGTTCCCAAATGACATTCATTTTTAATCGATGCACAGTTTCCAACGACTGAAGCTTTTCGACGGTTTTGTCATAAATTTCACCAAAAGTGATTTTTCTCAGAGGACATATGGATGACTGTAAGAAACATTTTGGACAGCCGTGGAAAAAACAACCCATATACTCAAACCCTTGTTCGACGCCTGAAATCACAGCATATCCGTCGAGATAAAAATCTCCCACTTTATACTCCCCCAAAGGCGTTAAAGCGTGTTGAATGTCTACATTTTGACTGTGTGAAACCCATTCCAACCACACGATGCTTGAACTTGAAAATGGTTTTTGTTGCGGTCGATAACCGAGCGGACAAGGAATGGCCAATGTGTCTGGTTTTAGGAATTTTGATCTAAACACGCGCATGCAAGCTGAAGCGATCGTGACAGATTTCAGCGGGTCGATACCTGTTTCATTAAAAAACTCCTCTCTGAAAATACCGCATGCTTTACGCAGAATTTCCACATCGTTTCTACAATAAAACACGGCCTCCTTTCTGAAATCAAACAGCTGCTGTTTAGACACATCGGTGTACCATTCTAAAAATATTTTTTTATGCTCCGGAGACATTTGTTCAAACCCATAATGGCTGACATCTGGGTAAGGTCCTTTATAATTCAGATGTTCAAGCGATGAAAATCTGTGAGGAAAATAACCTTTAGTTTTATCTGTAAAGCCCAAAGCAGCTGGAAGGTTGGCTAATTTCATCATGAGAAAACTTAAGGAATCAATGAATCTCAACCCGAAATCTGGATCGTGAAAACTCAGGATTTTACAGCCTTGCATGAGTATATTTTTGGGAACAATTTTTAATTGACACATAGCGCTCAGAATTATATAAGCATCAAATCCACGCGCATTGTGTGCAACAAATGTATAATTGCTGAATTTAGGACGACGCATCTGCATAATAAAATCTTTAATGCAATCTAAACCAAATTTCTCCCAAACGTCGCCTGAATCGGATTTTGCACAGATTAAAAAAGGTGTATGCACACCGTTCTGATCCGTAAACGTTTCAGTGTCGTAATAAATAACCTTTTCCGTTAAACCGTCATCTTTTTTTTCAAGCTGAATAAAACAGCGATGATCGTCCGTGACCACCGACTGTTTGCAAACGATGCATTTGGTCGCTGAGCAAACGTGCTGTGAACCATTTCCACCCATGGCGATGTAATAAGTTTGTTTACAAATGGTGCATTTTTTAAACATTTCGCAAGGAGAAACTAACCTGTTTGCTTGAGGCCTGAAAACAGGTGTTTTGTGAGTTTGAAAACATATTACATTTTGGCATATTCGATTACAATCAGAACATGTGATGAGAGACGTTTCTGTCCGTTTGCATAAATCGGTATTACACACGCGACAGAACCATTTACAATGATGTCCGTTTATGTTATTATAAGCGGAAAAGCACCATGAACAAAAATATTTGGCTCCTAAGAAACCTTTAATATTTTTTATGCCGTAATAATGTTGATTGAGTAGCAAAATGAACAACGGATTTGTTCGATCGCTAAAATCTGTTTCAAATTTAGAAATGATTCTGTCGGATCTGTAAAAAATGATTATTTTTCTTTGAACAATATTTTCAAATTGAATCACGTCGCTAAATGAAACGGTTGATTGCTCCTGAAGCCCTGCCTGTTGATGAATATTTTTAGCCACATTCAATAATTCTGTATCTCTCGCTGAGGGATTTAACAGGCCGGCTATGCTTAGCGCAAAACACAACGGCTGATTGGCCTCTGGAGGGCAAATGAGATGGTTTCGTTTTTTATTGACTAATTCGTGATCCAGAATGGTTTCGATTTTTCGTTTTCCGCCGCCGGACGGGTTATTTATCACTTGCAGTCTGAAATTAAATTCGTTGTCGGCCTCTAATGCTTCATTTGATTGGACTAACAGATCCAGTAAATACTGAAGCTGATTTAACATATTTGATCCGTCATAATTAAAATTAACGTGGTGCGTCGTGTGTAAAGTATTAATTTCAAACTGGACTCTATCGTTGGGACGCGCGATCTGGCTTCCTCTTTCAGCAAACCTGTTTAATATTTCCATCAGATTAATATAAAACTCGGCTGGGTCGTTGATTGCTTGAAAAGACACTCTCTCTCTAATTTCACGCTGGTTAAAAGCTGCGTTTACGCTCCCTCCGATCTGCCGGTGTTCTATTTGTCTCAAAATTTCGTTTATTGCTTCTGATGAAGGCTCATCTGAATTTGCTAGAATTTGATCGATCTCGTTTACGCGCTGCTGGTGTTCTATTTGTCTCAAAATTTCGTTTATTGCTTCTGATGAAGGCGAATCTGAATTTGCTAGAATTTGATCGACCTCGTTTACGTGCTGCTGGTGTTCTAATTGTCTCAATATTTCATCTACAGCTTCTGATGAAGGCGAATCTGAATTTGCTAGAATTTGATCGACCTCGTTTGAAACGGCTTGGGATGCTAAGATCTCACTATCTGAAGCTAATTCATCTACTTCACTCAGTCCGCTTAAATCAAACCAGTCATTTAACACCAAATTATCGGCCTCCTCCACTGAGGGATTTTGGCTGGCTAAAATTCTATCTAACAAATCTACATTTAATTCATCATCTACTTCAAGCAAATCTGAAAGGTTATCAAACCAATTTTCACTCATGATACAAAGACATTAATAACCTACTAAAAATGAAGAAAAAAACTCTGCGTCGTCCTCCTTACAGAGCCAGCACTTGTTGGACCACTTCGACCAGGCCAGAATTGACCTGCAGAAGCAAGTAGGCCATTTTCATCCTGTTTAGCCGTTGAATCGGTGAAAGACGGATGTTTTTCTTCTTTTTCTTCAGCCGTTTTTCTGATGAAAAAATAAATAAAAATAAATAAAATGAACGAGCTTTTAATAAATTATATATATAAATTTAACTTACTCTGTACAGGTGCAGGAGGTGGTGCGTTCTCTTCCTCTTCATCTGAAAGGATAAAAAACATCTTTTCTACTTCAAAAATTAAATATACTCTGCAGAGCGGTTTTGTGAAACAGCTTACCGGCTGGCTGCTCAGGACCACGTTCAGCGGTTTCAGAGTCGCTGTCGGATTGTTCTGAAAGAATAAAAACAAGGAAAAATATGAACGAATCATCTTTGAAGTAAATAACCACCTTTTTATATATCTCTTACCCTGTGCAGGAGATGGGGGAGGAGGAGGAGGAGGAGGTGGAGGAGGTGTGGGCGGAGATATTGAAGCGGCTGTCGGATGTTGTTCTGAAAGGATAAAAAACATCGGTAAATGTGAACGAGTCATCTTTGACTTATTAATCAGTTGTTTTTTTTTTTATCGTTACCATCCGTCTGCGCATGAGAAGGGGTTGGAGGTGGTGGTGGGGGCTGAGATATTGGGGGTGCGTAGGCCGTCGGCCTTTGCTCTGGAGAATAAAAACGATAAATATGAACGACACATCTCTGACTTATTAATCGCTATTTTGTAATCACTTACCAGCTTCGAGGATCGTCTGTGGCGTGATGGTCCTGTAACGAACAGCTTTCACGTTCGCATTCGCGTGTGATCTGACGGTATGGCTGGGCTGATACGGATGTAAGACGGTTCGGCTGGTGGATGGAGGCGTGGTTGGGTAAAAGTTATCACTTCCGGGGTAAGGTTGAACCCCCTCCTTTTCTGTAAAATGAGATATTTCTCAGCTGAAGAAAAGAACGTTACGTATATATTTATAAAATCCACTCACTCAGATTCTCGACCGCGCGATTAATTTTAGACAAATCATCCAGGGGGGAAGGTACCGGAGTTTTACAAGTTAATTCCTCAATAGGAATTTCTTCCCACTCGCCGTCCGATATGACAATAGCGTCTGAAAATAAAGATGTTAAACCAGAAAGAGAAAAAAAAGATTTGCGTCTTGAGTTAAAAACTTACCCGTCATCTTAGCTTGTTACACCTCAAATCACGACTCCGAAAATGCGGGTTTACATTTTATACAGCTGTTTAAAAAAATCTTGAATAGAAAACGGTTGCGATTGGTCGAAAAAAAAAATGTTTATAAACAATACAGAGTCATTTGCTTTGTTGTATAGGTAGACAAATGTATGAATGGGTGTTTAGAGTTGTGTGTGTGTGTGTGTGTGTGTGTGTGTGTGTGTGTGTGTGTGTGTGTGTGTGTGTGTGTGTGTGTGTGCTCGTATCCATTGCTTCATCAAAACTCCCCGGAGCAGAAATAAAAAAACCTTTACGATCCAAAAAATAATACCGTACCGTTTTTGTACCGGACATTTCTTCCTGAAATCTCATCATGTCTCAATTCGAACGTTGTTTTTAGCAGAGGAAGGCTATATTCAAAACACGTATCCATCGGTTCTTCTTATTCTTCTTCTTCGCTCATGTTTTGGTTAAAATGTAGCAGCTCTTTCACTCGTGTGTAAATCCGTTTACGACATGCATGTGCCTTAGTTTAACTATTCTGAGAGGTATGACATTAAAGGTTTGACCAGAGGTACGTCTGCTCTGAGACTTTACTAATCCACCCCTCCCAAAAAACAAACCTCATAAACAGCTTTTTATTTATTTCAGCTGTTATAGGTCCTACAAAATGGATCAAATCTTTTCTCTGAGGCAGGAAGCAATGTGTGTGTGTGTGTGTGTGTGTGTGTGTGTGTGTGTGTGTGTGTGTGTGTGTGTGTGTGTGTGTGTGTGTGTGTGTGTGTGTGACAGTGAAAACAAAATGTGACACTATAGGCAGGAGGCGATGGTTAAGCTTTCACTGATGATGATGACGAACCAAAGATGCTGTTCACCTAAATAGCTCTTTGAAACAATAGCAAGTCATTTGCTTTTGTGAATTGTTACCATGCCGACTTGGTTAGAATGAACCAGAACTTTGTTTTTAAAACTTTCCCGCCACTCTTTCAATACAGCCCACCTGCAAAAAAAAGTAAGTAATTCAGAAGTCGCTGGCCGTGCAAAATTGTTTAGAATGAACTTTAAAAAAGCTCAACAGATCTTAAAAGCATCACGCTGAGGTAAGGATCAACTTTTGTTCTTATAGGCTTGAGTATGCAGGGTGGTTTACAACAGGACCATAAATGGTTTAGGATGGTAAACCATTGCTTTTGTGAAGTGAGAGAAATGTTTGAATGGTTTAGTCAAAGACAAATGTTTGAATGTAATCCTTTTACTTCTTAGAGAAGTGTGTGTGTGTGTGTGTGTGTGTGTGTGTGTGTGTGTGTGTGTGTGTGTGTGTGTGTGTGTGTGTGTGTGTGTGTGTGTGTGTGTGTGTGTGTGTGTGTGTGTGTGTGTGTGTGCTTACAGCCTCTGATGATTCATCCATTATTTGAGGTGCTGCTGGACAGAGAGTTTTACACAATAGTTTTAGTTCTGGTCAAAAAGTGTCTGAGAGCTGCATGTAAATAACACATTTAAACACAAAGTTTAAGACTGAACATACGAAATCCAACGTGAACATATGCCAGATGGCTGAGTAAATCAAAGAGATTATTAATGACATAGACAATGTGTCACTCTGAAGAGTTTGTGTGTGTGTTCAGCAAAAGGCTGCAAAAGTTCTTGCATTGACTTCAGCTTATGCCACCCACTCGAGAGCAAGCAGACCATCCCATTTGCTTTGTGAGTTGTCGACTAAAAGCGTCACACTGAGGTAAGGATCAACTTTTATTCTTATAGGCTTGAGTATGCAAGGGTGGTTTACAACAGAACCATAAATGGTTTAGGATGGCAAACCATTGCTTTTCTGAAGTGAGAGAAATGTATGAATGGTGTTTAGAGTTGGTAACAGAGAGAGTCAGACATTTTCTGAAAGGGGAAAGTGCTTTAAATGTGTGTGTGTGTGTGTGTGTTGCATGTAAATAACACATTTAAACACAAAGTTTAAGACTGAACATACGAAATCCAACGTGAACATATGCCAGATGGCTGAGTAAATCAAAGAGATTATTAATGACATAGACAATGTGTCACTCTGAAGAGTTTGTGTGTGTTCAGCAAAAGGCTGCAAAAGTTCTTGCATTGACTTCAGCTTATGCCACCCACTCGAGAGCAAGCAGACCATCCCATCTTGTTTGCTACTTCACAAACAGATTCTTTAACTTTGAGGAGACGTACAACCATTTCATAAGTACTTGACCAGCGTGTGGGGCTGTCATTCACAGCAGTTAGGCAGCACTCATCCACTGTCAGTGAGCCATTTTTTTCTTAGAGCTCGGCTTTTCACCATTCGGACAGATCTGAGCTTTTAAAGAGTTAAACACAATAGGATTACACTCAGAAGGGAGGGGGGCTGTGGGAACCGATGGGCTATCACAAAAAAAGAAACCACACACCATTACACACATTAGCCTATGACGTGGGGAATCATGGACATCTGGACACGTTCAACAATACGCCATTGATGATGCGGCGTGGGGGGTCTAGCCCATCTGGACAATTAACAATACACATGTCCATTTGATTAATGATACGGAAGGGGGGGCAAAGATTGAACAATACACCTGTCCATTTGATTAATGATAGGAAGGGGGGGGGAAGGTCAAGGGTCAAATGAACAATAGGAATGAAAGGTCAAAGAACAATAGACCTGTCAAAAAGTTTGACGAAAGGTGTCTTATAATCCTCTCTCACCTGCAAATTAAGGAACTGCAGGAGGCTCTCAGGGCAGCTTGGAAACAGTTAATAGCTGAAGATATTTCAAGTAATGGAGCTGTAATTCACACCTTTGATGACCCTCCCTTAATATCTCAAACTGTACAGGGCTCGTCTAACGTAGGTGTATTTGAAGAAGCGCAAATCAATTCAGCCGGCCTTGATTCCAGGTTTAAAGGCGGGGGAAAGGACTGCGATAGACCATATGGAAAGACTTTAAAAATTCCAAACTCCTCCTGCTCTCTAGAAAGTGTCGACAGAGTTAATGCACATGACGCAAAAGATGTTCCTCATTTTGCACAAGACTTGATGCAAAATGGTTGTGCATCCTCTGAGGGGTGCGATTTACCTGGAGCAAACCAAGGAGAGCTCAAAAATGAAGCTAAATCAAGCAGTTTTGTAAATTCAGACATTCTGCAGAGATGCACGGAGGGAGAGCTGCCGAGGAAATCCGAGGGCAGGCGAAGATCCTCCTCATCCTCCTCCTCCTCATCACATCTGTGGTGTGGCGCAGTACCAGTCATCCGTTACAGCCGCAGAGCTTCTGTCCTCCAGCTGGCAGAAGCATGGGAAGTGTCGCAGTTCATCAGCTCCAACACGACTCCGGTCTCACGCTCCTCCAGCACAGACAACGACAACTCTGTTAAAGGGGTCACCACTAACGAAGCAGGAAGTCAGGATTCAGGAAACCACAACAAGGAAAATGTGTGCACCATTCATCCTGATTTGTGTAACAATTACAGCGGCAGCATTTCACACCAATTAATACCTAACAGCAATGAGCAGTCCTGCAAAGGCCTCGCCCCCAACACGGACCATACTGAACAGGCTCTGCATGATTCCTCACAGAGTAAAGGTTTAAAGCACCAAATGGAGAGTGATTTTGATCGGTTGCCCTCCAAACTCAGACACCTGGATTGTTATGAGTGGAACGTTTCACCCACAAGAGAAGCAAAGGAACAAATTAAAAACTGGGGGCTTGTGGATCCTTTTCCTGTGCAGGATTCAGAAACAGGAAGCGATTCTTGCAGTGAAGATAGTCTCGAGGTGGAAGCGAAAGAGGAACACGATTTCTCTGGCAAATTCCTCTTAGAAACAGATACACAGGACAACCGCTGTGACCTGAATGGACCTGAAACAAACTGGTACCCAAGCAAAAGGGAAACTATCTCCATCCAACAGGAAAATAAACCAAACAGCACATCTAACGCACCAGAAGCTGGTCTGGACGATGCTCCAGGGCCCAGAAACAGCACAAGCACTAAGAGCACAGAGTCATGTTCATATGTAGAGGACATTTATGGAACTATTGATCAGCGTTGCTATGGAAACCTTCATTCTGAGTGGCTCCCACATCCGGATGCACACTTATCAGCCGACAGACACTCAAAACCAGTCTCCAGTCATAACTCTGGTGACTCAAGTGATGAGGGAGAGGCTGGTTCCTCTGCTGTTTCACCGCCACATGGACCGGACTCTGTACAAACCTCCATGCCGCCCACCTCGTCAGTTTGCAAACCTTTGGGCCTTCCAGCTGACAGGTCTGCTCACCTGTCCTCTCCTAACCACCAACCGTTGCAGTGCTCCCTGTGCGATCGCTCCTTCAGCCAGCGAGGCTCTCTAAACAGACACGTTCGAAGCCATCTTGGCGTCCGGCCCTTCCCCTGCCCTCGCTGCCCCATGACTTTCTCACGCCAGTACCGTGTCACTGAGCACATGCGTGTTCACCTGCGCTGTCCCCTCGGGAATGGCCACCAAAAAACCTCAGACTCTTTTATTAAAGGCCACGAGGAAAGACCACAAAACTGACAGGATTTTTTTCACTGAAAGATAGCTTAAACAACTGAAGTTTGCAGAATTTTATAGAACTTTAAGCTGAGATTTTCAGGTCTGAATCGTTTAAAACGCTCTTTAAAATGCCACTTTGGTTTGAAAGTTTGTTTAAACCGGAAATGTTCCCTTGTAGCTTTCCTTCGTGAGTCGGTGTGTTAAAGATGTGTTGTAACTCCTTTTTACAGATTACTTTTTTACTATCGCAACAAACACAGGCAGCTAATCAGACTTTGTAATGCACCGATTCTCCCGAACCTCTGCAGACAGAAACAGTTAGCCTTCATCTTGTGATCATTTAAAACAATTAGCAGCTAATGAACGTTGTTTTCTTCCTCTAGAAATTTACTGAGACCAAAGTGTCACACCCTGTCCTGTCTCCCCATTTGGTTCAGCCTGCCATTTGGTTAACTGCTCCCACCTGCCTCTTGTTTTCCAATCACCCAAGCTCCCAGCCCTCTTGTATTTAAACCCCTTCTGTTCTGTGGATCATTTCATTGTCCTGCGTGTCCTCCATTAAATCAGTGTTTTAAATGTTCCTGGCTGCCTCCCTGCCTGTTTCTTCCCCTGCACTTGGATCCTCACCTCCGTCTCACTCACCGGCACGTTGTGACAGAATGAACCAACCCTGTAAAGGATCCAGGGGGGAGGTTCTTCCTTGGGAGTGTTTGCTCCAGTTTTTAACCGCGGATCACCGGCCGGCTTCTCCTCCTCTGGCCTCGCCGCAGACGCCGTCGCCGAACCCCGGCTGCAACGATCCCCTCCGCCCTCCCGGAGCTAGATGTGAGGTTGGACCAGGAGACACAGCTAGACCGCTCCTGCTACGTGGGCACTAGACTGGCTGGCCCACGGCGTTGGGAAGCAGGCAGGCAGGCAGACAAACCAGTACGAGTAAAAGTATTTAATGATCACACGCTGGACAATGAAACAATGATCCACAAAGAGACACAGAACTGAAGGGATTTAAATACAAGAGGGCTGGGAGCTTGGGCGATTGGAAACGAGAGGCAGGTGGGAGCAATTAACAGAGACGCAGGCTGAACCGAATGGGGAGACAGGACAGGGTGTGACACAGAGATAGTTATTATAATTACCAACCTGTATTCTAAAGGTAGCTAAAGAGTGTCAGCGTTGCACCAACAGCTTCTATTATATAAAATAAGCTTCAAAATAATGTTTGTGTTAACATGTTTTTAATGACTTCTGGCTGCAGAACTCAACACGATAAAACTGACCCCTGCTAAAAGAAAACAATAAGGTGGCACGTGCATGCTTATAAGGGTTAAGAGAAGCTTGTGTCCATCTTATATTATTATACAGTGTGATGCAGAGTGAGGGTTATACAACTTTATCACAAACTAATAAAAAAAACAATAATTTAATGTTTAAATTTGGGAAGTTATTTTTCTTCTGCTGATGACTGATGCAAGTGGTCTAAATAAAAGGCAGGTGACTGTTTTCTTGCTCGTATAGTTTGTCTCTTTGATTTCTTCATGCCAGCTTTTATTCTTATATTTATTCTTACTTTAATGGCCAAGTCATCCTATTTACAAGCTGACTTCGTTCCACAGAGTTTAGCTGTGAGTCTGTAACGCGTTTCTGTATAAACTCTTGTCTGGACAAATGTTTGAGCATCATCCTCTGGGCTGTTGCTGATGTTAGTGAGGCCTTACAGAGTTCTGTGAATGACCCGTTTTATCTTTGCAAATTAAAATGCTTTTCAATGTTTGGAAAGTTGAATAAAAATGCTAGTTTCATGTTGGTGCTTGACATCACATCTCAACCTGCTGCCAAACATCTGATTTATTTACTTGTAAACAAATGCAGGCTCGTGTGAGCTCTAATTTAAAAGAGAAACGCAAAAGTGTGCATCAGCCTTGTTTTCTAGGGTGCCATTTGAACAGATGCAGATATAAAAATGAGATGACTGATCACTACAAGGCTTATCTGAATGACGAAACGTCTTCTAACAGATGCAGTCCTTTGAAAAACTTGAAGCACTAAACGTCATCTGTCACTCAGTGACAGTGCATCTTTTCAGTAGAGATTGTGCAACATGTCCTCATGTTAAAACCACTTAAAAGTATTTATTTGAACTTGTTTTTACTCTTAGTATCTTTTTAATGTCGCTCTCTCATTTAGTGCACTGATGGAAAAAACCCCATCCCTCACCATTATTGAGTTTTCAGATGACTCATCTAGAATATATATTTACTTCACCATTTCTTTCTCTATGCATTTTACCTGTCTTTGATTTTTAGCCTTCATTTTGATTTATTTATATTGGTCTAAATATTTTCATTCATTTTCATTTATTTCTTAAATATTTTATTTCATTTTTGTCTTTTATTTTATTATTTCTTTGTATTTTATTATGTATTTATATCTATCTATCTATCTATCTGTCTGTCTGTCTGTCTGTCTGTCTGTCTGTCTGTCTGTCTGTCTGTCTGTCTGTCTGTCTGTCTGTCTGTCTGTCTGTCTGTCTGTCAGTCAGTCAGTCAGTCAGTCAGTCAGTCTGTCTGTCTGTCTGTCTGTCTATCTATCTATCTATCTATCTGTCTATCTATCTATCTATTGTTGCCATTTAAAAAAAATAAGCGTTGGCTTCAATCCATTCGATTTCATAACCTATAATTGTACGAAGACAATTATAATGCTATAATGCAAATAAAAATAAATCCATTAATCCATTCATTAGGTAAGTCTCCAAACCGAGACGAGCTCCAGACACCATCGATTTAGAGTTCTGCAAACAACTCGTCACTAAACACCTTAAAAACAAAAATTATTCTCGCCCACTCTCCTCATTACCAACACAGTGCAACAATCTTAGTCATCAGAGCTCAGGAGGTAGAGAAGGTTGCCGGTTCAATCCCGGATCCTACCAGAGAATGCTGCTGTTGTGTCCTTGGGCAAGACACTTAACCCGCCTTGCCTTCTGGTGGTGGTCGGAAGGACCGGTGGCGCCAATTTGTGGCAGGCCCCGCCTCTGTTAGCACGCCCCAGGGCAGCTGTGCTCATCACCAGCGTGTGAATGAGTGAATGACTGATTGTGAAGCTCCTTGGGGGTTTGTAGACCCCTAAGGAGGCGCTATACAAATACAGACCATTTACCATCTTTTCTTCTGCCGTTGCAAAGCTATTTGCACATCATTGCTTCCAGTGAAGATTCATTTGTATATTTTATATTTACCTTTTTTTTCTCACATCTTGTGTTTAGTTATCTGTTTTCCCATTTGAGCTTCACTGTATTCACGGAAAGTGACAGTAAAAGCTTTCTGATCCAGATTTTCAAAAAAGGGTTTAATTGTTGCTCATATTTCAACTCCTGTCTGTTTTTCTTGATTTATGATGCTGCAGACATCACCCTGCAGGCAATGAGGAGACAGATATCAAACGTTTTTGTTGTTTTAATCAAATTTTTAACAGATAAAAAAAGAAGATTTCATTTAATTTCACTTCAAATGCTCATTTTGTTTTTTTAGTCCTATTAGACAAAGTCAAAACATACGTCACTACAGAAACAGAAATGCAGTTTCTACAAATGATCTGTAAACCTCAGATTTGGCCGATATGCACAACTAAAACACTAGTTTACTTAACAATATTAACTCAGTTTAACTGATCCTTAAAATGTTTTTTTTTTTGTTATAAAAGGCTGTGCAAGTACGATGAGCAGCTAGTGACCTGTGCTCTGTGGGTAAAGTTCATCAGTTTGTTGATTCTGGTGGGAAAAGCGGTTTTAAGCTCTGACGGAGTTCTGGTTAAAGCAACTGAAAACAACTCCCCGCAAATCTTTAGTTATGCTGCCGCAGCCAAACGTGCAAGAAGTGGTTTTAGCTCTAAAAGCAAAATAAGGACACACACATCTTGGATTTTTACATCTTGATTTGTCACGCTTCAGACCGTCCTTGTCATTCTGCAGGTGTTTCAGACGCTGCCACAGTCATCCTCACGATGGCCTAAAGAGGAGAAAAAGGCCTCACATGTACCAAAGTCATAACTTATATAAATGTAACAACATGTCCTTGCAGATGAACCTCTGCTGCTTTCTGAGCGTTCTCACCTGACTTTTCGTTGATCGCAGGGCTGCCCCGGCCAGCGCCGACATGACGATGACAACAACGAGAGCAACAAAACCGTAGAACATAAAGAGTAAAAGTAGGGTCGCCTCCATTGCCTGATCAAACACAAACAGAGCGTGTCACAAGAGCCTCAGAAAAAGTAATTATTGAGTAAAATCTATAGATTTTGAGCTGCAAAGCTAAAACACATTACAGACTATCTAAGTTCTCAACAAACGACCAGGAATTGATTTGGGATCAAGTTTATGACATATCATACTTACAGGATCGTCGGGAGGACTTGATGGTGAGCTGTAGGTGTCGTTGTGATCCGTCGTGTCGTTGTGATCCAAGTGTTCATAGTGGTTGTTGTGGTGGTCATAAATAAAGTAGAAGTGCACTTCTCCCAGGGATTGAAAAAGAAACCAGGCTATGCATAAAGTGGACACAATGCTCAGAGCTAATGACGCCGTTACCTGCACGAAGACATGAAAATGAAGCATTTCGTTCAGTGGACGAATTTGAAAATCTTAGAAGTCATTTTAAAAGCATCGAAAAAGACTTAATTTATGGTTTAAGAACAAACAATTCTGCTTACATTGAGTTTTGAGTAACGCTAACAGGACATTTAGTTGGCTCTGAATCAGTAAGTGTTTTTTTATAATCGTACAGAGGAACTTACAGTTTTCTTCGTGGTGTTGCGCCCCGCCACGATAAACAGAGTCCCAGTAATGAGCAGCTGCAACAGCAGAAGAAGGGAAAAGAGCAGAATCACAACTGGATTAAAACCAGAAAAACTGATTTTCTTCAGAGCTAAAATAAAATCATTTTTAACGAAGTGAGTTGTTTCTTAAGCTGTTGCTTGTTTCAGATCTGAAGACATTTTGATGGATAACTGACCAGTGTTCCGATGAATACATCATTTAGGACGAACGGCTTCACGTCGATGTAGACAAAAGCCACGGAGATGGAATAATTGATGTAGGAAAAGCCGATGATCAGAATGATGATCTGGGAGAAAAGGGCTAAATGACATGACCTCTTTAACACTCCTTTCTTATTTGTGGAATGTTTGCATGTGTGTGTCACGGCAGGTGAGCGGATCCGGAGGACGAGACAGCTGCAGCTCATCAATCCATCAACCGACCAGGGATATAAGGAGGACTGAGACTACTACACTCTGTCAGATGTTTGTTCACTTTGGGTGATTGTTGTTGTTTCTGTAGTTCAGTCTTATGCTTCTAGTTTGTCTCTAGTTATAGAACGTTTGTCTCTTGGGACTCTGAATAACACATTTCTTGAGCATGACCTCAGGTACTCATCTCCACATAACAACCACTGCCATAACTCAGAAGGATCTCATCTCAAGCCAAGTCACAGCTTCGACCCTGACTGGCTCGCTCTCCCACCGCTCACCTGTTTCCCACCTGAACCCTTGGAGGCTGTTTCTCGCCACTCACTCTCAGAACCGGACATCCCTCCCCTCTCATCTCCAGCCCAGCACAAAGCAGTAAGATCTCACGTCCTGCACAATCTCAAGCCGTTGGCCTCTCTTTCTGACTTAATAGACCATTTTTCAGACCATTCCTGGAGCTCTGTTCTCCCTCGCCTCGTTTTGAAGGCCAACCCTCAATAAAACATTTGTTTTCTTCTTACCTGGTTTCCTGTTGAATTATTCTGCATGTCTTGGGTCAGGAAACTTCCTCAGAATGTGTGTGTGTGTGTGTGTGTGTGTGTGTGTGTGTGTGTGTGTGTGTGTGTGTGTGTGTGTGTGTGTGTGTGTGTGTGTGTGTGTGTGTGTGTGTGTGTGTGTGTGTCATACACCAGTAATCTTGGGATGTCCCTTCAAGAATCGATGTAAAGGTTTGCTGCCTCCTATCATGGAGCTCTGAGTTGTTCCATCTGGTCCAGGAACATTTAGTATCTCTGCAGACATCTAAGGATCAAACACACAGGAGATAACGGAAGACGAATGGACTTATAGGCAGTAAAGTTGAAAATGTCGTCTTCCTCCGCTTATCCGGTTCCGGTTCCGGGTCTCGGGGGCGGCATCCCAACTAGGGAGCTCAAGACTGTCCTCTCCCCGGCCTTCTCCACCAGCTCCTCCGGCAGGACCCCAAGGCGTTTCCGGACCAGATTGGAGATGTAACCTCTCCAAAGTGTCCTGGGTCGACCCAGGGGCCTCCTGCCAGCAGGACATGCCCGAAACACCTCCCCAGGAAGGCGTCCAGGAGGCTACCTGACCAGATGCCCAAACCACCTCAACTGACTCCTTTCGATCCGGAGGAGCAGCGGTTCTACTCCGAGTCCCTCCCGAATGTCCGAGCTCCTCACCCTATCTCTAAGGCTGAGCCCGGCCACCCTACGGAGGAAACTCATTTCGGCCGCTTGTATCCGCGATCTCGTTCTTTCGGTCATTACCCAAAGCTCATGACCATAGGTGAGGACTGGGGCATAGATTAACCGGTAAAGCGAGAGCCTGGCTTTCTGGCTCAGCTCCCTCTTCCCCACGACAGATCGGCTCAGCGTCCGCATCACTACAGACACCGAACCAATCCGCCTGTCAATCTCCCGATCCCTCCTACCCTCACTCGTGAACAAGACCCCGAGATACTTAAACTCCTCCACGTGAGGTAGGACTTCTCTCCCGACCTGGAGTTGGCAAGCCACCCTTTTCCGGTCGAGAACCATGGTCTCAGATTTGGAGGTGCTGATCCTCATCCCAGCCGCTTCACACTGGGCCGCAAACCTACCCAGCAAGAGCTGAAGGTCAGAGCTGGATGAAGCTAGGAGGACCACATCATCCGCAAAAAGCAGAGACGAGATTCTCCTGCCACCAAACTCGACACACTCCACACCACGGCTGTGCCTAGAAATTCTGTCCATAAAGGTAATGAACAGAACCGGTGACAAAGGGCAGCCCTGGCGGAGTCCAACCCTCACCGGGAACAGGTCCGACTTACTACCGGCTATGCGGACCAAACTTACGCTCCTCTGGTAAAGAGACTGAATGGCCCTTAACAGAAAGCCACCCACCCCATACTCCTGGAGCGTCCCCCACAGGGTGCCCCTGGGGACATGGTCATAAGCCTTCTCCAAATCCACAAAACACATGTGGATTGGTTAGGCAAACTCCCATGCCCCCTCCATCACCCTTGCAAGGGTATAGAGCTGGTCCACAGTTCCACGGCCAGGACGAAAACCACATTGCTCCTCCTCAATCTGAGATTCAACTATTGATTGGACCTTCCTCTCCAGTACCTTGGAGTAGACCTTTCCAGGGAGGCTGAGGAGTGTGATCCCCCTATAGTTGGAACACACCCTCAGGTCACCCTTGTTAAAGGTGAGGACCACCACCCCAGTCTGCCACTCCACAGGAACTGCCCCGATGACCACGCAATGTTGCAGAGACGTGTCAACCATGACAGCCCTACAACATCCATAGCCTTGAGATACCCAGGAAGAACCTCATCCGCCCCCGGGGCTCCACCGCTGTGTAGTTGTTTGACTACCTCAGCAACTTCTGCCCCCGAGATTGGACAGTCCATCCCCAGGTCTCCCGGCTCTGGCTCCTCCTCGGAATGCGCGTAGGTGGGATTGAGGAGCTCCTCAAAGTATTCCTTCCACCGTCCGACTATAGCCCCAGTTGACGTCAGCAGCTCCCCATATCCGCTGTAAACAGTGTGAGCGAGTTGCTGCCTCCCTCTCCTGAGGCGCCGGACAGTTTGCCAGAACCTCTTTGGAGCCGATCGATAGTCTTTCTCCATGGCCTCACCAAACTCCTCCCACGCCCGAGATTTTAGATTTTAAGTTGAAAATGCTATTTTTAAATTTTACTAATCACCATACGTGAAAGGGTTCCAATGAAGAGATGCATCAGTTCTGGTGCTGACGGCTGATACAGATTTTCTGATATTCTGATTCATCCCAGAGTGAACTACAATCTCCGATTGATGCAATATTATATGGATACAGTGGGTTGTGAATTGATGTTTGTGATATTTCATATTTACTCACTTTAACATTTTGATTTGATTCTATTTAGGATCCACTGATTGATATGAAACGCTATTACAACACAATCATTTCCAGGGAAGAGACAATGTCTTCACTGAAATCATCATGACGCGGCTAGCTTCATTTAACACGTTTGGTGATGTGAGGGAACAGGTGGAAAACAACATGTCAATGAACTTCAAAATAAAGCAATTTTCGAAATTATTAGAAAAAGTTATTTGATCAATGATTGTAGTTTGGATTAATAATCATTTAACCAATGTATCCATGTAGATCAAAGAATTTCTAGCAGATAAACATTTTTACCCTTGAATAGCTGATTGCCTAGAAAAGTCTGATTCTGGTAGAAAAATCTCCACATGGAATACTGCGGGAAAAAAGTATTTATTCAGCCTCCAATTGTGCAAGTTCTCCCACTTAAGATGAGAGAGGCCTGTAGTTTTCAACATAGGTGTACCTCAAGTATGAGTGAAAAATTAGAAAAAAGAAATCCAACAGAAAATCTTATTTTCTGATTTTGAAATATTTTTAAAGGAAATTTTGGTGGAAAATAAGTATAAGAGGCTCCTCTGTCCTCCAATCTATACCTGTATGAAAGCAGCTTTCCGGAATATTTCTCTTAACCGGTGGCGCCATCTAGTGGCTGAAAAGCATGTCACAAAAATAGTCAGTTGATCCATTTTATAAAGATGGCGACTTCACGTTTCTTGTTTATAAATGTGCTTCTGTAGCTGACAAACAGAGCTAAAACACACCGCCAGGGTCTCAATCCAGCAGTGCCAGATGTGTCCCCCTGCAAGCCAGTGCATTTGGTACATCTGATTTGGTGCTAAATACTGATAAGGTCATTGTAGTGGGGGATTTTAATACTCATGTGGACATTGAAAATGATTGCCTCAGTGTAGCCTTTAGTAATATCTTAGACTCAATTGGTTTTACTCAAAGAATACATAGCTCCACCCACTCCTGCCATCATACATTGGACCTTGTGCTGACTTATGGCATAGAGTGTGAGGAAATAACAATCTTTCCACATAATCCAGTCCTCTCGGACCACTTTCTGATAACCTTTGAGTTTTTTATAAGTGAGTTCTCGAGACATGAAAGTAAATTTCACTATAGTCGGTCTCTATCTGACAACGCAGTTGCATCTTTTAAATCAACTGTTCCATCTTTACTGTCCTCAGCATCTCAGAGGCATTTAGCAGATGGCAATATTTTCAGTTCTAGCCCCTCACAAACTGATGCCTTAGTTCATCATGTTAATTCCTCTTTACGTGTGGCATTAGATGATGTTGCCCCTTTAAAAAAGAAGGTAATTAGGGACAGGAAGTTGGCTCCCTGGTTTAATTCTCATTTACGAGCCATAAAACAAAACTCTAGGAAATTGGAGAGAACACGGCGCTCTACGCACCATGAGGAGGCATACCTATCCTGGAAAAACAGTCTTGTGCTTTATAAAAATAAGCTTCGACAAACTAGAACTGCTTATTTTTCAGCATTAATTGAGGAGAATAAGCATAATCCTAAATTTTTTTCAGTACAGTTGCTAAACTTACACAGAATCATAGCTCTGAGCCATCTATTCCCTTAGCCCTCAGCAGCAATGACTTCATGGGATTTTTTACAAGTAAAATTAATTCTATTAGAAACAAAATCTTTAGCATCCTCCCTAATGCGATTTCTTCTCCCTCAGTAAGTGAGGCAGCATCAGAGGCGACTGTAGAACCTCATCTGTGCTTGAACCATTTTGATCCAGTTGAGCTTTCAGAGTTATCAAAAATATTAGCTTAATCTAAAACTTCAACTTGCATTTTAGATCCAATCCCAACCAAATTATTTAAAGAAGCATTTCCTTTGGTTACTGCCCCCATTCTACATATAATCAATCTATCCTTAGTAAATGGGTATGCACCACAAGATTTTAAGGTTGCTGTAATCAAACCTTCACTTAAGAAGCCTTCTCTGGATCCAGATGACCCAATGAATTATAGACCAATATCTAACCTTCCATTTTTATCCAAAGTCCTGGAGAAAATAGTGGCCATCCAAGTATGTGAGCATTTAAACACCAATGCTCTGTTTGAGGAATTTGAATCTGGTTTTAGAGAGTATCACAGCACTGAAACTGCATTAGTGAGAGTTACAAATGATATTCTCATGGCCTCAGAAAAGAATCTTGTGTCTGTTCTAGTCTTGTTAGATCTCAGTGCTGCCTTTGACACAGTTGATCACAATGTTCTTTTAGAAAGACTTGAACATGTTGTAGGGATCAAAGGAACAGCGCCAGGCTGGTTTAAATCCTACCTGTCTGACAGATTTCATTTTGTAAATGTACATGACAAATCGTCTTCATACTCCAGGGTTACTTGCGGAGTACCACAGGGTTCAGTGCTTGGACCAATTCTTTTTACTATATATGCTCCCAATTGGTAAAATCATTAGACAGCATGGGATAAACTTCCACTGTTATGCTGACGATACTCAGTTATATTTATCCATTAACCCTGATGAACCTAATCGGTTGGGTAGATTACAGGCTTGTCTTGAGAACATAAAAAATTGGATGACTCTAAACTTTTTGCTTTTAAATCAAGACAAGACGGAAGTTCTCATCTTTGGACCAGAAATCCAGAAAAAGAAATTGCTTAGTCAATCACCTGACCTGAATGGCATTACATTAATCTCCGAGAACAAAGTAAGGAACCTTGGTGTTATCTTTGACCAGGACATGTCATTCAAATCCCAGGTTAAACAGGTTTGTAGGATTTCCTTTTTCCACCTTCGGAATATTGCTAAGATTAGAAGCATCCTTTCAGGAGTGATGCTGAAAAACTAGTTCATGCATTTATTACATCAAGACTGGATTACTGTAATTCATTACTCTCAGGAAGTCCACAGAATGTAGATAAAAGTCTTCAGCTTTTCCAAAATGCTGCAGCTAGAGTTCTGATGAGAATTAAAAAGAGAGATCATATCTCTTAAGACCCTTCTTCTCACATATAAAGCTCTTAATAACCAAGCTCCATCATACATCAGTGATCTGATTGTTCCATACGTTCCTAACCGAGCACTTCGCTCTCAGACTGCAGGTTTACTGGTAGTTCCCAGAATATCTAAAATTAGGATGGGAGGCAGATCTTTTAGTTATCAGGCTCCTCTCCTGTGGAATCAGCTCCCAGCCTTAGTCCGTGAGGCAGACACCTTGTCTACTTTTAAGAATAGGCTTAAAACATTTTTATTTGATAGGGCCCATGTTTAAAATCTGATGTTAGCCTAAATCTGGACAAGTGAGGGAGTAGAGGGAGGTGGAGTGTACAGTCGGTAAAGACGGCTCTCCCTTGCCCTGACTCCAACATACCTCCATCTAAATAGGATAGATTATCCTGAGTTATCTCTGTAGTTATGCTGCTATAGGCTTAGACTGCTGGAGGATACACTGACCACTTTTCACACTCTACTGCAGTCTGCTCTTTAACTGTACTATTTTCTGCAATTTCAGCTGTTAACTTTATTTTCTCTGTAAGTGTTTTTCTCCCCAGAAGAAGCTACAACGATGTTCTGCTGAGCTGTGGTGGCCTCATGGAGGGGGCCACCAACTAGCACACTGCTGCTAACCACTAAAACATTATCCCTCTCCTGATAATAACTTTTTGCTTTCCTTGACGTTGGATGTGCTACTACTAGTTTATCCGTTTAATTATAGATCGACTAGGATAAATACAATAAAGTTTATCTCTCACCAAATAGAATATTTACTAAGACTTCACAATATAATTATAGAAACATTACTTGTCTGTGTGTGTGTGTGTGTGTGTGTGTGTGTGTGTGTGTGTGTGTGCGCGTGCGTGTGCTTGTGTGTGTGTGTGTGTGTGTGTGTGTGTGTGTGTGTGTGTGTGTGTGTGTGTGTGTGTGTGTGTGTGTGTGTGTGTGTGTGTGTGTGTGCCTGCTCTGTCTTCCTGATCCCCAGTGAGTCGTGGAGGATGACTGCTTATACTGAGCCAGGATTCTCTGGAGGTTTCTTCCTGTTAAAAGGGAGTTTTCCTCTCCACTGTCGCTTTATGCTTGCTTAGTATGAGGATTGCTGTATAGTCAGTGACTTGATGCAATTTGCTGGGTTCCTTATATAGGAAACATTATTTCTGACTGGCTTAATGAACTGACCTGAATTGGAATGTTTATTATGTGAAGTGCCTTGAGACGACTCTTGTCGTGATTTGGCGCTATATAAATAAACTTGAATTGAATTGAAACTTGAATTACATGTGCAGGCCCGTCTGAAGTTCGCTGGAGAGCATTTGGATGATGCAGAAGAAGATTGGGAGAATGTCATGTGGTCATATGAAACCAAAATAGAACCATTTGCTGAAACCTCTACTTGTCATTTTTGGAGGAGAAAGAATGCTGAGCTGCACCCAAAGAACACCACACCTACTGTAAAGCATGGGAGTGAAATCATCATGATTGGGGACAGAAAACGTTTGACCTCTGTCATTGCCAACAAAGGTTATACAACAAAGTACTGAGATGGAATTTCATTGATGACTATAGATACTTTTTTCCACCATAATTTGCAAATAAATAATAAAAAACAGATAATGTGATTTTTCTGGATTTTGTGTCTCATAGCATTACAGGCCTCTCTCATTTTTAAGTGGGACACTTGCACAATCGGTGGCTGACTAAATACTTTTTGCCCCACTGTGTCTGTCATTGCTAGCATGGATTAGCACTCAACTAACTCTTGATCCCCTGGTTTGACAGTGAGTGGCTCATTCACAAGTTAAAGAAATTAAATCTGATTCCTCATCTGGTAAATCTAATCATGCTGAATTTTGAATGATTCCAATCACCCGCCTATTTTGATACGCTCCCAAATAAAACAAAATAGCAGGCAGTGGATAAAAAAGGGGTGTCTGTGACTCAGTCCCTTTACTGTTGTCCTTTTGTGAAATAAGAATGGCAGAAGAACAGTTCCTGTTGAAATTAAAATGATTAATTAAATAATAAGAACTGCTTCAAAAACAACTCCAAACAACCACAAAACGTTCTGAGGGCTTGCTTTCACACAAAAACCACAACTCCTACAATCGTGGAGCAGTACTTTCGATGACGTCACCATGTGTGTTGAACTTCGACAACGCAGATTAAACAGCTCCAGATGTTCCATCCAGCTACTTTCTGTCTGTAACTTTCACCTCCAACATCTGGAACACTGTTAACGTGAAGCGTGACTAACCCATCCAGACGCGCGGACAGAAAACACGTTTGTTCCTTATTTTAAAAGACGAACTCCGCAAAAAATAAAAAATAAAACCTCAAAATGCGCAACTGTGGTTGAAGCAGACCGCAAAGAGAATAAAACGAGGCTTTAGAGAAAAGATGCAAACCGTGAGCTGCCGTGGAGTTCGTGGCTGCAGCCTGGAGCTGTTTCACATCTGGATCACCGACAGTCTGTGGGTTTGCGCTGAGCTCTGCAGATGTCCTCCTCGGCTCAAGTCACGTGTCTCCGACGTATTTGGTGATTTTCTTTAGCAACATTTTAAGCACAAACTCCGTAAATTCGCTTCCTCCTATTATTATGGGACAAGAATTTACATAAATAGTTTTTTATTTATTCATTGCTTTTATGTCGCAGCTCATATATATATATATATATATATATATATATATATATATATATATATATATATATATATATATATATATATATATATATATATATATGAATGATGACATGTGATGAAAAGAGAGATGTCTGCATTATGTGAGGAGGTGTTTCTGTCCAGGACTCCGCCCACCAAGGAGTATAACAAATGCAGCACAAGGATTATCTCACAGCTAACAGATCACCCGATCAATTTATTTCTGTGTCTCCTTGTGCTGCATGGGGCGTTTTCTCTGGGGGCTCCAGTGCACCCCCCACCCTAATTTCTAAATCCCTGACAGTTATACCCTGATGGATCTGCCCAGCTCTTCAGTAATCAGCATTTAAACTGCATTTGTGCAAGACAGGTAATTTATAGTTATTCTACTGACATCATTACATCACACATTAACAATAGGGCCATAACTGGAAAAAGGTCACAGAACTGAACAAGCATTATACTCTCTTTTGGGGAAGCCAGGCTCCCCAATAAATCGAGCCCTGCCTACAAGAAAATTTGCTGCCTTGAGTACTTATTTGAGAACTTGTTGGATAGTTGAACCTCAAATTCAGGAGGAGCAATGCAGTTTTTGTCCTGGCTGCCCAACCAGTCTACATGTGTTTTGTGGATTTGGAGAAGTCATTTGACCGCGTCCCTCGGAGGGCCCTGTAGGGGTGGGTGCTCTGTGAGTTTGGGGTACCAGGCCCTCTGATATGGGCTGTTAGGTCCCTGTATGACCGGTGTTGGAGCTTGGTCCGCATTGCCGGCAGTAAGTCGGGCTCGTTCCCAGTGAGAGTTGGACTCAGTCAAGGCTGCCCTTTGTATATATTCTGTTCATAACCTTTATGGACAGGATTTCTAGGTACAGCCAAGGTGTGGAGGGCATCCGTTTTGGTGGCCTGAGGATCAGGTCTCTGCTTCTTGCAGATGATGTGATCCTGTTGACTTCACCAGAACGTGGTAGCAGTAGCTCAGGAGGTAAAGTAGATTGTTCAGTTATCAGAAGGTTGCAGGTTTGATCCCAGCTCTTGACTGAGAATTCTGCTGTTGTGTCCTTGGGCAAGACACTTAACCCACCTTGTCCGCTGGTGGTGGTCAGAGGGACCGGTGGTGCCTGTGCTCAGCAGCCTCGCCTCTGTCAGTGTGCCCCAGGGCAGCTGTGGCTACATTGTAGCTCATCACCATCAGTGTGGATGTGTGTGTGTGTGAATGGATGAAATCACACACACATCCACAGTAGTGTAAAGCACTCTGGAGTTCTCTGACTCTGCAAGGTGCCAGACAAGTGTTGGCCATTTATCATTTATTGATGTGATCTCCGGCTTTCGCTGGAGCGGTTCGCATCTGAGTGTGAAGCAGCTGGGGTGAGAATCAGCCCCTCTAAAACCGAGACCATGGTCTGGAGTCAAAACGAGTAGAATGCCTTCTCCAGGTCAGAGACAAGGTCCTGTCCCAAGTGGAGGAGTTTAAGTATCTCAGGGTCTTGTTTATGAGTGAGGGAAAGATGGAACATGAGACTGACAGGCGGAATGGTGCTGCGTCTGCAGTGATGTGGGCGTTGCACCGATCTGTCGTGGTAAAGAGAGAGCTGGGCTGGAAGTCAAAACTCTTGACTTAGTTGATCTATGTTCCTACCCTCACCTATGCTTTGGGTGGAGACCAAAAGAACAAGATCAGAGACAAGCGACAAACTGAGTTTTCTCCACAGGGTCTCTGAGCTCACCGTTAGAGATAGGGTGAGAAGCTCGGGCATCCTGGAGGGGCTCGGAGTAGACCTGCTGCTCCTCCACATCGAGAGGAGCCAGCTGGCCCAAGTGACTGAGGAGAGGATAGTCTGGGCCTCTCTGCTTAGGCTGCTGCTCCCGTAACTCGACCCCGGATAAGCGAAGAAAAACGGATGGATGGACATTTAAATATCATGTCAGAAAATTCATAACTTTTTTTTTTTTTTTTTTTGCTTCTGAAGCAAAAATTCAAACACTAAAAAAGTACACTGGCCCTTAGTGCCCAAACCATAAGGGGAGGGAGTGAGGGGTCAAACAGGAAATCAACAGAATAAGTTTTTATTGATCTTTCACAGAAAGAGTTAAGTGACATATTGGACTTTTAAGAAATACGTTTTGACATTTTGAAAACAAGCTGATTGTATTACTTAACACGTTCCTAAAGTGTCAGTTAATCATCCACTTTTATTTCCATACAAACACATGAACAAAAACAATTATGAGCTTAATAAAGAGTAAATTCTCCATTACTTTTCCTTTTGTTAAATCAGTCAGATGATGGCACCAGACATCCAACAGCTTATTATATGTACACGCATTGTAATACAGTTTAACTCATTAGTCAGAAGGCTCAGGTAACTGTACACTGGTTTTCATCACAGGACACACTCAAATGAATCTTTTTAAAAATAAACTCCAATAAAAATCCATTGAATGGACGAGAAAACAGACGATCTTTTAAAAAAATGGGCCTACTGTGCATTGATCTGTTGCATTAGTGGTCACATGGTGTTACAACACAGAGGAAGTGACTTAATGAACAGAAAAGAGTGGCTGCACATGCGTTCAAATAAACACCAGTAGCAAATGATTTCACACAATATGGCAACAAAAAAAAAAGTAAATCAAAATATCACAAAAGCTTAAAAAAGTCAATGTAACTTCAAATAGTCCCAGAATTAGTGCTTTTGTTATGTATAGAAGTTCTTCCCCTCTTTAGATTCAACAGCAATACTGACACTTAAACACAACACGGTTTGTAGTTTGTACCCTGACCCATTCAAACGATAATGAAGTTTCATTTTTCCCACATCTTCTAACGAGTCTTAATAAAAGCAGTTTTGCACAAACTGTGAAATTGAAAAACCTGGTGATGGGTTTTCCATCTTTGCTGATGAAACAATTGCATCGATAAGCATTAGCTGCAATAGTCATTTATACATTCTCACATCTTTTATTTGCAAGTTCAAAACCAGAGAAATGACAAAGACCACACCTGTTTGCATTGTTCTGCGTTAAGAGTTAGAACGAAAAGTAAACACAAATGTGCCATGGCCGCGTTTCACAGTAGCACGGTCAGGAATCCACTCAACTGGACCTGCAGACAGAAGATGTTTTTCTATCTGCTTTTGTTTGCATCACCTGGGAGTTCTGCAGCAGAATGTTCTGTTAATTCTTCTTAAATCCTATTCTACTTTAAAATCTGCACGTGTACGGCATGTATAAATTCAACTATGATTTGATTTATTTATTCGTTATTAGGTGTAAATATTCCAAGGCATTTTAAAACAACCTGTTTCTGCACATTACCCTGCACAAATAATAATAATAATAATAAATTCTGTAGTCAAGTATGCAGTTATTTAATCATTACTCTCGGGCAAAGTTGGGGATGGTGTATGATCTAGAAGACAATAATAACCAGATATTTATAATTAGAGGTAAACTGATTGTTATGTTGCAGTGCAGAGTTTGTAAAAATATCAGTGCATTTACAAAAATGTGATAAATGCAGGCTTCTTTTGTCAGTCAGGACATTTTTTTTATTTTCTCTGCAACGCCCTTTTTGAAATCTTTGTCCTCTGCCTCTCTCTCCCTTACTTTTTTTGTGTCTCATCAATATTTTTGTTCTTCTTGTTTTTTTTACACAGTCATGTGTTGATGTGGCAATCTGGAAATACATTCACTTCCTCTGCATAAATAGTCTTTAACATTAGGCACTGCCTTCATTTCTATGTTGAGGAACAGTTTGATGGCTGCTCCTCTTCGTAACCAGGCTGCCAGCTGCACAACGAGCTAGACAACAGCCAGTGATGAGGTCAGAAGCTGGACTGCATCCATCTTCATGTGTTCAGCTTGTTTCAAAAGGCTGCAGCTCTTCGTCCTGATTACTGTCATCAGGAAAATCTTTGCTCCAGTGGTGGCAATGATCAAAAGAGCCAGAACGAGGGATGTCCAGCGAAGAGTCCTCATGCTCAACCATGACTGGGAAGACGTGGTCAACCATGTCGCACAAGCGCCCAAACCTGGCAGAAATGTACAAAGGTTTTAGCGTTTTTATTGTACAAAGACAAAAGTTGTTTGTTGAGCCAAAGCGAGCAGGTAAAATAAACTGAAGAAGGAGGCGGTGCTTACGAGGAAATGTTGGTTTTGGCGTGCTCTTGAATCAGCTCCCCTTTGGGATTGACAGTGAAAATCCTGTTCAGAGGAATTCCCACTTCCTTATAGGAATACACATCCTGAAATCACACCAACAACCAAAAGAAACCAAATCAGGGCTATTTGACTTTATTTGTGTGCGTGTGTGTGTGTGTGTGTGTGTGTGTGTTCAGTCAACTCACCGTAGCTCTGTTGCCAAAGGCAGCGTAGAACGGTTCCATGTTTGGGTAGAAAAGGTGCTTGATGTCTGTGAGACACTCGATCTTAAACTTCTCTGGTTTCTTCTCAATCACCTCCCTGCAGGAAACATCATTTATTGCACAAAATACTGTGAGCGGTGGCAGCATCAGCTTAAGAAATGTTTAAGAGGATTAGGTGGAAAAATGTGTATTTCTTTACATGTTGTCAGCAATTTCTTTCTCATTTTTAGATTTGCATGACAAATAAGTCATAAAGTCGACAAATAAGTCGTTTTTGTGCGTGTCTGACCTGTGAAAAGCAGAAAAAAGGCTGCTGGGGCTGAGCAGCACCGGGCCCATCGGCAGCATGGTCCCGCTCTCATTGATCCAGTGCAGGTAGCCTCTAGTCATCCCAGCCATACCAATGGCCCTTGCTGAGCAGTACATGAATTTATATCCATTCCTGTGACAGAGGAAAAGATCATTAGCATTTAGCTATAATCACTAACATGTCCATCACGCGCAGCTGTTTTTTTGGCTCAGAGAAACAAAAAAAAACCTAATTTTATTTATCTTAATGAAGCGTTCACTATGGAAACCCTTTCTTGCCATTCTGATTACAAAAAAATTGCATGATTATGAGACGCAATTTTTAAATCAGATTAGCGCTAATGAGCTTCCATACTTTCACTGACCTTAAGGTCACTACTAAAATGAAAATGATTCAGAAAAATTGGTAAATGGTTGAGTAGAAAGTTAATAATTAATTACTTTACATTGTTATTATCATAATATTAATTTTTTATATTATAATATATAATATTTTATTTATAATATATTAATTTTATTACTTTATATTTGAATGCTTAATGCTACAAATTCAAAGCATGGCAAGCCATCCTGTATAAGTGAATATTTACGCCTGCATAGCTAAATAATTTAGTTAACAAATACATTTAAAACATGGAAAATAATGTAAGTGTAACCATAGAGGACCTTTATGACATAAAAACCAGAAACAGGTATAAACACTGAAGGCTCATGGCCACACTCACTGGCTGACTTTGTGGTAGAGCCGTGCAATCCCCTGATGGGTCCAGTCTTTACCCAGCGTAGGAAGGATGTGCCCAAGAGTGTCGGACCTAAACCAGAAACAAGGCATGACTAAATATATGCTCTTTAAACCTTACATCACACAGGTGCATGACCCTAAAATGAACTAATGTCCTTAGAAAAGGTCGAACAGGGCTGCCATCTGCTGGCGATAAGCAGTAAGTGAACAGGAGGTGTGTTTTTGGTGGCTAACTTATCACCTGGTGATGGTTCCATCTATGTCTGAGATGATTATTTTGTCATCCCAGCTCCAGAGATAGATTGTGCCGTGGCAGCGACAAGTGCCTTGGTACTGGGTGGTCACGCTGAACACCACCTCATTAGGACCTTCCTTTAGCTGCAGGCTAGCCTGCAGAGAAAAGAAGGCAGGAAGTTGTTCATTCAGTGATTCGTATACGTAAACATCACAGTAATGTGCCAAACTGAGCTGAGTGTTCTTGAGAAATAATTCAGGTAAAACTGTCTAGTAGTTGAAAGTCCCTCACAAACACAAAGCAGTTTGGTTCCATGTTGACATGGAACCAAACTTGTCCTAAATGCTAACAAGACAGAGACCCTGATCGCTGCACCACCGGGACTTCAGCCAAAAATCGAGCAAGAAATTGCCTCTTTTTGCCCATCAGCCAAGGCCAACATTAGAAACCTGGGAGTTATTTTTGATCCAGCTTTAAGTTTAGACTCACACGTCAAAACCATCTCCCGCTCTTGTTTCTTTCAACTGAGAAACATTTCAAAAGTCCGTAAACTGGTTTCTACTGCAGATCTGGAAAAAATCATCCATGCCTTTGTGTCATCACGCTTAGACTACTGTAACGCTCTTTTTACTGGTCTCAGCAAAACCTCCCTCTCACGCCTTCAAGCCATCCAAAATGCAGCAGCCATACTCCTAACCAAATCCAGCAGACGAGCTCACATCACTCCAGTTTTACAGTCCCTCCACTGGCTCCCGGTAGAATATAGAATTCAGTTTAAAGTTTTAGTCCTGACCTATAGAGCTCTTAACAACCAGGCTCCAAGCTACCTATCTGAGCTTTTATCCCCACACACCACCTCTCGGAACCTTAGATCCACATCTGAAAACCTCCTGGCTGTTCTTCGAACCAGACTGAAAACCAAAGGGGACAGGGCCTTTCAGTCTATTGCACCCAGACTTTGGAACAGTCTACCTTCTAATCTCCGTCTCTCTAACACTGTAGAGGCCTTTAAAAATCATCTAAAAACTCACCTTTTCATCCAGGCGTTCCCTCCATAAATGTTTCAGAATGATGGCTTTGTTCGGGTTCACACCTTCACTTTGTTTATACTCATGATTTTATTTTCTACGTTTATCACTGCTATTGTTTTTCTGATGTTTTTATTGGTTAGAGGTATTTTCCCTGATCTTTATCATGTTGTACAGCGCTTTGTGATTTATATCTGAGAAAGGCGCTATATAAATAAACTTTTACTTACTTACTTACTTACTTACATACGCTGGAATAAACACCTTACCAGCTGATCTGAAGTCAGCCGAAGAGTCTTCTTATAACAGATGCTGCTAGCGCTCAAAAGCATCTCAGTCTGACAGGATACTGCCACCTGATTGGTTGATCGGGGTTCCTCATCACTTGAGGAGGACTCATCCTTCAACCTGTAAAATCCAAAGCACTCAGGTTGGCAGAAGAAGACAACGAGTGTCATTTTGAGTGCTTTAAAGATCAAAATGTGGATAAAACTGGGATCAGAATTGACCTGTTTTCTGGGGTCATAGTGATAGACGCCTCTTCCATGTCTCCCGCAGCATCAGTCACCTCCTGTGGTGCAAAAAGGTCAAAACACAAACAAATTATGCTGATGTAGTTAAAAGACTCTAAGCCTAAAGGTAAATGCGAGCTGGTACTTAGTCCATTCAAGGACTGACCGACTTAGAATCACTGTTCCTGCTCCTCCATGAGAACCACCAACGCCCTCCTTTCTTTGGCATCTTCTCCTTAATGATGTTCTCCACTGACTCCTGAAGAAAACGATGCACATTCAACTCAAAACTGAAAAGAAATGTACATGCAAGCAGGAAAAAGATCCACTACACAATGGCGAAACATTATAAACACCACAGTGTGCCAAACTCTTAAAAAACCCGCCAAAATAAAAGGCAAGAGGGGAGCAAAAACACATTAGCATGCAGACACCCCCCCCCCCCCCCCCCCCAAAAAAAAATCTAAGAAAGCCCTGGAAATTGAAAAAAAAAGATTATGGTTGAATACAACACACAGAGACATGGATGGATATAGAAAGTGACAATGATGAAAGACGCTAACAGGAAAAGGCATGCTCTGAGCTCTAACACTCAAGCAAAGACAGAAAACATCATACAGGCTGGGAGGAGCTGGAGCTGAACAGACCAGGGAGGCAATAAGAGAAGAGGCCGAAAACGGAAAACACGTAACTCAAACACCAAGACTTAGTGAACACAAACGTCAGATGGGCCACGAGTGAAAGGATGTGTGGAAATTACAAAAAAGGAAATACAAAGAAGACAAGGACATAGAATTATTCAAGTGTTAGAACAGGTTTAACACAGACTTATTATTACACATCTAGAAATGTTCAATCTGAAGCCAGAAATGAGTGCAAGCCTACATAAGCTAAGAACATTGTGTCAATCGAAGTAAAACTTTGAAGCCTGGAGGGTTCATTGTAATAATCTGATGGATGCAAATATGATAAAATTTTAGTCTATTTTACATTCGAATCTTAATAATTATTTTAAAGAGCTCCTTTACTGAAATTTCAATATGTTTGCAGTGGTCTCTCTTAGCAATGACTTGTACTCGCGTGTGTGTGTGTGTGTGTGTGTGTGTGTGTGTGTGTGTGTGTGTGTGTGTGTGTGTGTGTGTGTGTGTGTGTGTGTGTGTGTGTGTGTGTGTGTGTGTACTTGTTTAACTATCCCACTTAAGACCAAAACTGGCATATTCACTAATCTTCTGAAGACCGATGGGCCTTCTTAGGACCAAAGCCCTGTCCTAATATGGTGGACCCCCTGGTTTAGCCTTAGGGGTGAGGTTTAGAGGTAAGATGTGAATTGAGTTTTTGTTACAGTTAGGTTTAGGAACACACTGGTTATGGTTATGTGTGTGTGTGTGTGTGTGTGTGTGTGTGTGTGTGTGTGTGTGTGTGTGTGTGTGTGTGTGTGTGTGTGTGTGTGTGTGTGTGTGTGTGTGTGTTCCAGATGCGCCTGTTGCAGCACGGAGAATTCAGCTGGAGGAGAAAGGAGCAGCAGACGGCCAGATTTGAAGTCCTATTTCCTGATATTTGGACATCTCGCCTCTTATTGGCTAATGACAGCGAGACTCTACCACTGATCCTGTTTGCTCTGCAGCGTTGATGCTAATGCTAACGGTTAGCGTTTACTAGCAGAGATGTACGTTCTCTGCTGTTTCCTGGATGCTAAACCAACAACAGCCTAGCCAAGATGGGTGAGTCCAACTTAAGCGACAGCTTGATGTAGATCTGTCAGGCTTTTCAAATCCTAGTGTTTCACTGTCTGTTTTCTGTCAGAAGTGAATGCAGGAAATAAGAGCTATCGAATAGGTGTACTAGACTATTTTCACTTTCAGCCTGCATGTTAAACTCAGAGTGACCGATCATTTTCAAAACTATAAGTAAAAAATGGGCTCTCAGTTAATAAATATAGAGATGAATCTGGTCTTACCTGTGGCAGGGGTTTCTGGTAGACCTGCATGGCCAACATGACAGGAGCTGCTGTGCTCCAGTTGTAATACCTACAACAACAACATCAAGGGTAACGTCTGACTATTTGGTCTTCTTCTGCAGAAAAACCCACTAAAGCTCGGTTCACGCGGCAGGAAGGTCATGATTATTTTAGAACAGCTCCGCCCCTTCTGACAATCTTTAGGATATGCATGATTACCATAACGGCTTTAAAGATAATCTTATCAGATAATTCTAGTGTGTGGTGTGCGGAGCACTCTAAATCGCTCAGGTCATAAATCTGAACTTTCAAACATGTTGGACTGTCCAATTTTTGGGGACAAAGGAATGTGCTGCCTGTTGAATGTGATGTGCAGCCAATCAGAAAGCGAGGTGACAGCTGTGCAGCATGCTCTTCTTCGCCACATCAAAGTCATGTTTTATCTCACCACCTAGTTGGGAGATGTCTGTGAGTTAAAACGGTTTATGTGCAGTGTGTAGTATTTGCCGAGCTGCAGCACATCACACGCTGTTGGACCAAAACTGTAATGCAGCATTTGGGATATTTTTACCCCCACATGCTTTAAAACAGGGGTGTCAAATATGCGGGCCAGATCCGGCCCGTGAGATGGTTGTGTAAACTTTATTTTCCTACTTTACAATGTAGAGTGAAAATAAACTTATCTTTGTGAGCAAGTTTTCTCTGTAATGAGTATAAATAAAACAAAGCTGCGCTCAAGGCTCACACAAGAACTTGAATCACATCCTGAAGTTGGCCGCCACTCAGGATGTGACTTGATATTGATGTGCTGATGAAAGCTAAAAGATGTTAAGTAAAATGAGTCAAATATTCTTTAAGTGCTGCATGAAACTGATCTAGCCATGTGATCTGTAAGCTCTTTGAATTACTAAGGAATGTTTTTTTTTCATTTAGTGATTTTTTTTTTTTTTTTCAAATTTTCAAGTACACTTCAGGTGTTGTACTTGTACTATTTTGGATACACTGTCCTCAGGCTCCAGCCTTGTTTTATATTGATTGTATTAAAACAAAGAAAACAATCTGAAGTTGTTTTTAATTTACCGGTCCGGCCCACTTGGGACTAGATTTCCCTCAATGTGGCCCCTGAGCTAAAATGAGTTTGACACCCCTGATTTAAAAACTAAGATGTTTTAGAAATCCCGCCGTGTGAACCGGGCTTCTGATTTCAGGAGTTCAATGTTCACAGCAAGGCATTTTAAGGGTTTGCAAAACAAATGTGGAGAGTTTATAGCTTTTTCTTAAAGATTGCTTCTTTACGGATTGGTCCCAGAAAACGATTTGGTGCTGATGGAGGTGTACATACTTGTTTCCTATCTTCACCACTAGGTTTGGGTCATCGATAATGGAAGGGTTCTCAGAGAACTGTTGGTAGGAGATAGCTCTCTCCAGGAACTGTTCTGTAGCATCAAACATACACAGAATTTGAGTCTAACAATGTTTCTAATTATTCCAGTAAAAGATCCTGCCTTGTCCATTTTCCCACCTCTGGTGATCTCCTTGTTGTCTGTGAGTCCTCCACACAGAGAGATGGCCACATGAGGCTGGTCGCTGATCTGGTCCACGTAACTGTCCACGCCGCTGTCCACCCCGCTGCTACCCATGGACTGAGGGGACTGGTTATTGCTCCTCACATCCACCATCATCATCTCTGAGTTCCCCCTTATTGAGCTCCTTCTTCCATCACTGAGGAGAAAGACACATCGTTTCACACACAGCCCTTAAAGGTGTAAGGAACATTTATCCTGAGGCGTTTTTTGTCCCTGCACCTTTTAGGGAAGTAAAGAGCAGCAACTTCGGGCTCCAGCTCTGTAAGATCATCCAGATAAACACCGTCAGCTCCAAGGTGCTGGCTTCGCTTTTCTAGAAGGAACCAGATCGAACATCATCAGCAGGAGACACAAAGGCATGTGGTCAGAAAACTTTGAAATAGTTTATCCTCCACCTTTCCTCTTGGAAGGTGAGTCAGTCCGTCTGATCGGACTTCCTCCGCTCATGTTTTCATTCAGATGATCTGGAAGAATATTTGGGGACACTGAACACTCTACTGCACCGTCCATCTCTACGTGAAGTGTCCTGACGTGCTCAGCATCTTTTGTTTTCAAGACAAAAACCACCAAACGTCAGTAGACACTAATATATGTGGGCTTCAACATTTTTGAGCTTAGAGAATCATTCAGCTACAAAATCTAACATTAATTCAATGAAATTTGTTCTCTGTTATGGAATAAGAAATGTTGTTTTGGACATCCATAATACTGATCAAAATACCCACTAGGGGGCATTAAATGCATTTACAGTTTTTCTATGTTGCTTTGGTGCATTTCTCACAACAGAATTAAACTTTGCACAACAGTTAGTTCAACCTCCACAACATGTAGTTGTTTTGGCACAACCTAGTGGCGGTTTCACATTCATTTCGTCCAAAGGCAAATACAGTTGAGCAAGTACAAATGTCTAAAGAACGGTCACTTCTGACTTGCTATTCATCACAATCTGCTTGCTTTTATCATGAATGTCACAATTATTTATACTTGTACCTGCTGAATAGTCATTGTCCTTACAACTAATAGTCTTCATTTGATTGCTTGTGTCATTGCACTCAAAATTGTTGAACATCTTGTCAAACAGTTTGTACACCCATTTTGAAAACCCTATTTTTAAGGAGTTTCCATGGAAATCTCCATAAATTACTTTTCTCAGGTGAACCTTATCTCACACTAATGAAAATTGGTGTGTGTCCTGGTGACAATCGGACAATGTGTGTAGTGGTTTGGGATAAGGTTAGCTTCCATCACTCTGCTGTAGTCAGGCAGTGGTTTGCAGCACACGACAGGATGCTTATGGAGTTTTTTCCTCCTTACACTCCATTCCTGAATACAGTTGAGGAGTTTTTCTCTTCCTGGAGGTGGAAGGTATATGACAGGCATCCACATACCCAAATGGCCCTGCTAGCAGCTATGGATGCAACTTGTGATGACATCACAGCAGAGTCCTGCAGAGGCTGGATTCGCCACTCCAGGAGATACTTTCCTCGCTGCATTGCGGGGGATGACATCCGTTGTGATGTAGATGAAAATGTGTGGCCAGACAGGCAGGAACGTCTGGATGTGCCAGAATGATTTACTGTACCTGTATGTTACAGTACTGTGCAATAATGTATGTACTGTTATACATGTACTGTATATTGTTCACATTTGTGCACAGCTCTACCAAAAGGGTGATTTTATGTTTACATGTATTCTACAGTAAACAAGTGACTGTAGCATATTTTCTTTTGCACAATGCTGTAGAATTACAAACACTTCTGTACAGTAAAAATGTAAAACATGTATTCAGTGTCTCAGTTACTCCCAAAACTCCCAGAACATCTACAGTAACTTTACTGCACATTTCAAATGGATGTACAAGTAGGGCATAGTGCTGTCTTGAGCATTTTCAGGTGTCACCAAATATTCTTGCAATGGAAAACACTGAAATTATAAACTGTCACAGTGAAAACATGACAAAGCCATTTGACTATCTCGTTCATAGAGATGGTGTCAAGACATTTCATTTTGATGGCACTGACAGTTTCATTGACATGAATACTTGCTTTTGAGGAATGGATTATCAATTTTGAGCATGTGACGTGCTTTTGCAGGCTATCCACTAGGTTTTGCAGTTTGCACTAATTGTTTTGAGAAATGCACTAACTGCTGTGTTAATAGTGTTCTGAGAAACGCACCAAAGCGACTGAGAAAAACTGTAAAACTCAGCTGTGACTCAAAAGAGCCATTGATGGGTGAACTAGACAAACAGGAAACAACTGAACAGAATAAAATATAATAATTTAAACTACTTTTTTTGCAGTATTTTACACAGTATCCATGATTTATGAGGAATTACAGCAATGTTCTATCAAACAGCTTAAACCAGGATAAGGCAGAACATGTTTAATACTCACTGTGGAGATCTTTGCCATTTCCTGCCTTGTTTTGACACTTTCATTTAACGCAAATATGCAAATTAACCTGAACTTACTAGTTTGCTCCATGCTGGTGCCACCCTTGTTCTCCTCAGAGTTCTTGTCCCCTTTGAGAAGGGAGGGCTCTCCGGGTTCGGAGCTACTACGAGTGACAGAAAGAGCCCCGGGGTCACTGATGGCTCGGAAGTGAGTGTTGGTGCTCACCGGGATGGAGACCACTTCCTGCTTCTGGATGGACGCCAAGACGTCTGGCTATAACAGAGAGAAAAAAGCTCTTTACCTCAAATATATTGATGAAACTTAGGAAAAAAAACTTTTCAATTGATGGATACATGAGAAAATGTAATTGACCAAAGAGTCACACAAACTGGTTTGAGTTTAAACTTACACAATTCATGCTGGTATGACTAATACCACATCATGTGTTGCTGATGTATCTGCTGCTGTAAGAACAGCTAAAACAACACACACTCCCATGTGATGGTGTGTTAATGAGTGGATACCTGGGTAGCATGCGGAAGCTCCCCCCAGGTCCACTGGATTTCAGGATTAGTCTGACTGATCAGCTCCGAGTCACTCTTGGGTGATGGTGGACCAGAATCACCTGGGCTGCTGCACAACAGTTGATCAGAAACTCCATTCAGATCAGTTTGTTCATACAGGTTTCTAACATAAAAAGGATTTTGCCAGTCATAACACACCTTGAAACTGAACTGTTTTCTCATGAATTATTAGATTTATGTCATTTTGTTCAGCGCATCAAGAAAAAAAGAAGGTACCCGACAAGTGAAGAGAACTGAGAGGCTTGCTGCGGACAAGAGATGGACAGACCATAGGATGGAAGGATGGATAGAGTCTCCTTATGTGCACTAGATTGAAATGAAAGAAAAACAGAAAAAAGAAAAACAAAGAAAACTGTAAAACGACAAAGTGAAAAGATTATTTTGTCACTGAGATAGCAAACAATATGCATCATGGAGGAGTCAAGAGGTGTTATTCAAAATGTGTGTGTGTGTTGTGTGTGTGTGTGTGTGTGTGTGTGTGTGTGTGTGTGTGTGTGTGTGTGTGTGTGTGTGTGTGTGTGTGTGTGTGTGTGTGTGTGTGTGTGTGTGTGTGAACAGTAAATAATATCTCTGTGAGTGAGTTCGCTCATTGTTGGGATGCACATTGCTGCTGGCTGTAAACACCTGACTGCTGTAAACAAGTCTGATCACACACACACACACACACACACACACACACACACACACACACACACACACACACACACACACACACACACACACACACGCACACACACACACACACCATGTCAGTACACACAACTACGGAGAGCTGAGAAAACAAATTCATCATGTTCGATACGACACAAAACAAACACGCTGCTTCACGCCTTGCCAGGCTCACCGCCGTGGAAGGTTTCTTAATAAACATCTGAAGTGTGGGAAGACGGATTTTTGGATCGGGTCCAGAAAATAAAGCAGCTTTTCAAAAAGCTTCATCTGAAATCACGCATGTGCACAAACCTGCTAGCTCAGATGTTAAACCACTAATTGTTTCCACTGAAGATGTGACACCAGTTCTGTGTTGTTTGATTGAAACAACCAGTAACACACTCATAATGCATGAAAACACACCCACACCACAAACAGTATCAGTGTGTATTTCTCTGCTTTTCTTTTAAACTTACCTGATGCCGTCCCCCTCCTTCTCATCATCTGAGCTCAGATCAATAGTAAACATGTCTTCATCTTCTGAGAACTCTTCTCCACTCTCTTCTCTCCTCCCTCCTGATCCTCCTGATCTTCCACCTCCCTCTGGCCTCGCTTTCCTCCTCCTCTTCCTTCTCTTCTTGGTCATCCCTCCATCCCCAAGTTGAGGTCCAAGATTCTGGATAGAGAGCGAGCTGCAAGCCGTGCTGTCTGTCAGGATGAGAAGAGATCAGCATAAATATTGACTCTGAAACACAAAAACCATCACAGAAGAACGACACCTACCCAGCTTGGACTGCATTAACTCTTCCCCCGCTGACAAGATGGGAGATGTAGCAAGGTAGGAAGGAACCACTTCCTGTTGAAAGGAGGACATATAGGGTATTTGTCACATCGGGATGTGTGGACGTGATCATTTACACAAGTCATTTCTGTGTCTTCTCTAACAACGCTGACTCTTGGTTTGAGTGTCTGGTATGATGACGGCCATGTGCCTGAATAGCAGCACCTGGAGCTTCTCAGGTGGTGTCTGCACCGAGCTTGCCACGTTTTACTGGTCTGGTGCCATCAGGCACGCTGGTTACCAGCATGATGAAGAGGAGGTGCATGGCTGCTCTGGCTGCATATTACTGGTCTATGTGCAACTGAAGCCCCTGTTTGTTAAATAAATCAGATTACCAGTGTGTTGGTGTTGTTCTTCAAACCTCAACCATCCAGTCCAATAAAGGACACCAAACAAGGGTCAAAGGCGAAATAAGTTGTTTAGTTGTTGAAAGTCCCACAAATGCATTTTCCTTAGATATGTCAACATCTGCAGTGGTCTCTAGTAGAAATGAATGCCTTGTGATTTGGTCTGTGGGGAAAAAAGCTCTGGCGCTTCTGTTTCAGGAACTAGAAATGAGCGCTAGCCGGGTTGAGGAGAATATGGCAGGTTTTAGAGTATTTCCTGATATTTGGACTCTGAATTGCAACGTTGATGTTTTATCTTCACAAATAACACAAGCCTGAAGAAATTCTGCTGTGTGGTGGAGTTGCTAATGCTAACAGTTAGCTTCTGCTAGCCAAGATGTTCTCTGCTCTCTCCTGGACACTAAAACAACAACAGCCTTCCCCGTCACGAGCCAAGATGGGTGAGTTTATGATTGCTAATTTTCAGTGTGTCATTGGTATGTGTGGCTTTTTCTAATTTGAGCGCTTTACAACACAATCAGTCATTCACCCATTCACACCCTGGTGGGGATGAGGTATGATGTAGCCACAGCTTCCCTGGGGTGCACTGATGGAGGCGGGGCCTGCTGAACACTGGCGCCATCGGTCACTCCGACCACCACCAGCAGGCAACGCTGGTTAGGTGTCTTGCCCAAGGACACAACAGCAGCATTCTCTGATCAGAGCCGGGATTGAATCTGCAACCTTCCAATTACTGGTCAGACCGCTCTACCTCCTGAGCTACTGTTGCCCCAATTTAGCACATCTCAAACAAAAACTCCCTTTTCGTTCCGACTTTTATTACCAATTCTACGTTCAATGAACACAAATCAGTCCATTTTAGGTATAAAAGTTAAGATTGGGACCAAAATCTATAAAATGTGTAGCTTTAATAGAAAAACAAATACAGTAACGCATGATGGTCGGTACAACCAAAATAGCTCCAAATCCCCGAAACTGTTCATTTGGATTCATTTTGGCGATCGTGATCATTTCAGGACAGTCAAAATGTCTAAAACAATGATGTCATAAACCGTCACTAACTAAGGAGGAAGAGATGTTTAATTCTAAATAATCTGATGTGAATTTGGGCTTAAACCTGGCAGATTAAATAAAGAAATCTGCTTATCAACCTCGTGCTGCTGTGACGACGAATAAGGAATAAAAAAACCAGGCAGGAGAACTCACGTTTTACAGAGCACATGTTACGATCCAACCCGATTCATGTAGTAGAGGCGTAAAGGGAACACACAATGCAAGGTCACGGCACATCTGCTCTGAGCTCGGCTCTTCTGGGAACATGAGCTGCAAAATCAATTTTAGTTCATGTGTTTTGTGAATCTTTGATCTCTAGAACAGCCTTCCAAGAGACAAATCTGATTTTATTTATTAAGTTTTTTCTGAATATGGATTTCACTAAACATTGGAGTTGTGTGAATTTCACTGTATTCACTTAGTAGTACAAACAAATCCTACTAAGGGATTTAACAGTTAATAGTGTTGAGTTCGATTCATGCAAAAAAAAAGAGATTTATTCCATAAAACTGAACATTTAAGAAAACGATTACGCTTCATTTTCACAATCAACCACTTAAAGGGAGAATAGGCAGTTTTGGCTTGCTTTTAGCACCCCCTAGTGACCGTTTAGTAGAAAAAAAGCAAAACTTATCTCCTCAATGTGCGTTCATCTTTATAAAACCTTATTCTTACAGCTGAATAGTCTCCCCAGCCTTCATTAGTGTCTACAGGAGTGAGTCATCACTAAATCAAACAAATCAGCCGGGCTCATGATCTAAAACATGCAGAAAACGTGCTGGAAGCAGACTGCAACGCCAGGTATGTCAATTAACTTTTTTTCAAAGTCCAACGGACCGGCACTCTGAAGTTGCAAGTGCTGTATTCTGGCCACAGAGGGCGGTGGGGTTCTGAGTGACATTTTCTTAACCCTGTAAAGGGTAATTTTAGCTCATGCTGGCGCAAGAAAATGATTTTAAAATATGAAACAATTTTCCATGTTTTCCTTTTTACCACAGATATGCAGAGCTGTCCCTCTGCTGTAGCCTGAAGATCAGAAAGCTTTCTTAATGTTTCACATGTAAAATCTGCAGCGACTGTTAAAGCACAAGCCTCAACAAATCCCAGAGTTTAATTTTACACCCCGAGGAGCAGATAAAGGCCGCCAGTGGGTTGGGCCGAGCCAGAACAGAACAGATGTCTGGGCCTGATCCCACAGAACCGCTCATGGCCCTGGCTCTTTCAGGTAAGTTATGGTGATTAGATGTTAAACTGAGAGGAAACAAAGAAAGTGATGAAAAATGAATAACTTTAAACTTAAATCAATCATCCAGCTTTTATGGTTTAACAATTTGAATCCGTCTGACCCTCTGCCCTTCGGTCCGTCTGCTCAGTAACCAACACATATGAGGGGTGGACAGCTATAAATAGGTCTCTAGTGGTTTTCCACTATGTGGGGTGTGTGTGTGTGTGTGGGGGGGGGGGGGGGGGGGGGTATTAAGGAGTGTGACACCAGATCCAAACTGTACATCTGATAGGATCAAACTGAATTTACAAATATTTTACAGTATGAAAGTAGCAGCTCCTCCTAAAATCCCACACTAATGAATGGGAACTTCAGTTAATGTTATATCTGAGAATTCCAGAAGATTTTCTGATTTTGGTGCCAACTTGCCTCTAATTCTGCACAAACTAAGTTCATTAAATATCAGTGTAACTGATAATAAAGTTTGTTTATGAAGGAGAAGAAAAAATCCTCTTTCTTTCCTTCTTAGTAGCTGTCCCCTCACAGAAACACTTCTTAAAATAAACAAAAATATCCCAGTTCAGTCCATTCAGTGTCAGAGCAGCAAAATGCAGGGGCGGTTCTAGGGGGGGTCCAGGGTGGGCCAGTGCCACTCTAACAGCAAGATCGAACCCCACTGAAAAGTACTGATTTTGCTTAATATTTATGTGAGACACATATTACCATGTTGTCACTGACCCAGATAACCAAGATATCAGTGTTTTATTTTTTTAACTAATCTTTGAAACTCATTCAAAAACTGCTGCATCAATAAGCAACCATAACTGAATTGCTGTTGATAAATTATTGTAGGGACACATTAAAAATTTTAATATTTGACGACAGAGTTTGTGATGTTTTCCTACAAATGTGCCTCTCCAACAAAGCAGCTGATCCCGGTCTCCCCCCAACCCCAAATGTTGTCTAGATTCCTCCCCTGCACTCATGTGATCGGATATCTAACTGAGAATGTTTATAAAAATGTTTTTTTTTTCTGTTATATTTCAACACAAATCAAGTCAGATGGAGAACTTCTGCTGCAGCAGATTGAGGTTAAACAGAAGCTAAAGGCTGCCATGCAGGCAGGAGGGTTGCCAGCTCCATTTTTCTAATCCAGTCTAAAGCTACACAAACAACCCTCTGCTCACATTTTCAATGTCATTGTCCCGTTGTCATGGGATACCAGGATCAAGACGGGTCATGCACACTTGCTGGGTAATTCAATTTTTGAGCCTCATGTGACACTTGGGTATTTGTTTTGTTTATTTGCTTCATAAAAACACATTTATGCAGCTGTTTTTGACATCCTAATTGTGTGTCCTTTCTCATAATAACAGAACATGTAATAAAGTATTTACTGTAGATTTAGGATTAGGGTTAGGGTTAATCGCTGGTCTCCCTTTCTACTAAGCGACATGCGAAAAAAGGTGCATGTGAAATTTTGAGCTTGCGCATATGTTGTGCACAGAACCTTGAAAAATGTCAACTTTTCATCGCTGTTGCTTGGACAAGGACCAATCAGCATAGGTTTTATTGAATGACCAGTGAGTGTACAGGATGCTTCTCAGTAATTCTCCAGGTAAACACGAAGGAAAAGTTAACACTTGCCGGGTCGGATTTCCCAGAGCTGTACAACATTTCTACAAAGATCTTCACAAAAAGACCCAGCATGGGAAATTATCAGTGAGTTGGTTGTTGGTGTGGTCTCATATTCACCATTTCTTTTTCTGTTTGGGATGAATCCATTCATGCGTTTTTCTTTTTTTATACAGTAAAGTCAGAAGTAAGACTTCACTTAATAGCAAAACCTTGTGAGACTTCATATCTACTGCTTTTTCAGGTCAGAACTGCTTTAACAACCCAACAGAACATTCTCTCCAATCTGACTCACTATTCGCCCTGGCTTTTACCGCTGGCCGCTGCCGCGTGTCGCCTCCCGTGTGTCGAGGCCATTATTGTTATGTTCCATCAGCGTTCTTATCACTAGAACAAAAACACAAGGTCTGTATGGACAAATACTCAAGATATTACTTGTTCTCTTTGGAAGACATCAAGACTAGATCTTTAGGGACAGCAGTAGCTCAGGAGGTAGAGCGGGTTGTCCAGTAATCAGAAGGTTGCAGGTTCGATCCTGACTCTGACCAGAGAATGCTGCTGTTGCGTAATTGGGCAAGTCACTTAACCCGCCTTGCCTTCTGGTCGGAAGCACCGGTGGCGCTGGTGTTCGGCACGCCTCACCTCTGTCGGTGCACCCCAGGGCAGATGTGGCTACATCGTAGCTCATCCCCACCAGCACAATCACAATGTGCGTGTGTGAATGGGTGGAAGATTGTGTTGTGAAGGGCCTTGGGGGGTTGTAGAAACATAATAAGGCCACAAATACAGGCTGCTTAGCATTTGTGAAATGAGTTTTGTAATGACTTTTGTTTATTTCTCCCTGGTACAACCTGTGCAGCATTTAAAATGATGTAAAAACACATTTCTTCATCCTCTGAGCATGTCTGAACAGAATGACGAGCACAAAAAAATAACACATGTGGGTGTAGATTAAAGTGGTAAAACTGGTGGGAAAGTAATCATCCGTCAAACATCTAATCAATCAAGTTTGTGTTCTTGCTCAGGCTGAGTAACCTTGCTAGTTACAATATGTTTTCTTCTGCAACTGTAGGTGATTCCCGATTTGGAAGAATACCTCTGTCCATCATTACTTACCATTTTGTCCTCTGTCTCTTTGACAAAGAAAGCCTCTCCATTCTCTCCCAGCTTCATGTGCAAGCTCACCGGCTCTCCATTAATCTCTATGTCCACCTGCAAGATGGGATAGAGACATTAAACATTACGCATGGTGGTGCAGATGGCAGCACTTTTGCCTCGCAGAAAAAAGGTTGCAGCCTTTAACTTGCACTTAGGTATTTATTTTAAAATGACAATATTTAGTTTTTAACATATTGAAAAATTTACTAAGTATTTATATAATTTACTACATAAATATTTAATGTGGAGTACTAATAAAATAAATATTTAATTTCCAAAATAAATATTTAGATCCCAGCTAAGTATTTATTTTGGAACTAAATATTTCATTTGTATTATCAATATTTAGGTTTACACTGGTTTAGCTAAATATATATTTTGTAAATATTTATTTAGGAAAATAAATATTTAGGAGATAAATATTTAGTTTGGAAACAAAATATTTGGCTACAAATTAATTATTTAGCAAGTAAATTAAATATGTATAATACAAACTAAATATTTACGTCTGACCTAAATATCTAGTTTGTAAAATAAAAAATGTAACTTTAAATTAAATATTAAGCTTGCTAACGAAATTTTTAGTTGGGAACTTTAACATTCATAAATGTATGAATACATTGATGAAAATACAACTTTGAAAAATGAACTCCCATTTTTTTTACGCTTATATAGGCTTAATAACCCAAAATACAGCACCCCATAGTGATATGGGCTTTCAGAGATGGACCAGTGTGGATGCACCACAAGCTGAACATCCCTTCTTTAGCCTTACTTAAACACTTGTTTTTGTTTGTTTATTGATTACTACATTTACCAATAATTAGACCAATGTAGACAACGGTTGTCTAATTACTTGGAATCATTTGCATTAAATGCTTAAAGATTATGGAAGGAGGTTTTTCTATAAGCTTACCACTTTCTCACGGGAACGCAGCACTCCCATTTTTCCGAAGCGGACGTGAAACGGGGAGCACTGCAGCGAGCCGTCGGGCTGCCGGACCACAATGACGTCTATACATCCTGACAGCGTTGCAGGGTTGAGTCCTCTGTACAGCTCCTTGACCTGCACGAACACCTGGCCCGCCAGTTGACCAACATAGTTCATGGTCTGTAACTGGAAATACAAACATCTTCATTCATCATACGTATTTATCAGTTAAATGTGGACTTATTCAGTAGTCAGGTTGGTAGAGAAGGGCTAAACTGTCAGTCTGCTGAACTGAGGCCCATTATCGATCCAGTGAGTCCGTTTTTGCCCACATGTGCCAGATAGATCAGCACTTTCTGCTAAAACTACTGTTCCCTTTTTTTGTGGAGCTGCTGTGTTTGGATAGGATAAATATGGATGTTTTTGACTTTTTTTCTCCCCACATTTCAGTCTTTGGATGGAAAATGTCTCAGTCCCATGGGATGAGATGAAAGTAAAGATTTATCCGATCAACAACCGCTGATGGCTTATGTCCAGACCTTCTAAAAATGTCCCCGGTGGGAAACCTAGAGAGGGAAATTCAACCACTGGTGCTGCCAGATCGATCGTGTTTCATCTGGATGCTACGGCAACCACAGAAGGACATGCAACAATAAACAAAATCCAAGCAAACATGGCAGTAATAAAAATGCCTTAAAGAACAAGTTACCCCCTACCAGAGTATTACTCCACTCCCACTTCCTGTTTGAAAAATGCAACACATGCTGTTGCCTAGCAGACTGAGAGGGCGGCGCTAACAAATACACACACACACAGGCTCACAATGACATTGTGACATCATATGGTATCAGCTAACGTTCTAGGGTACCTCTTAGCTAATAGCGATGGCAGATTTAAATTCAAATGCAGGTGCATTTGTCAGTTTTTCCCTGACAATGGCACAACACTGACTAAAATTTGAACTAAAATGCACTAAAGTGCAAAACTAATAACTACACGTCTACAGAACAATTAGATATGCATTTATATAGTTTATCAGAAAAAAAAGTTGATTTGGGGGTGACTTGCTCTTTAACTCAACCATTAACTTATGTAATGACTTTTGTGTTTTGTTTGATTTTTGCCTTCCTGTATATTAAACCAGGGATGTTGGCGATAAAATAAATATGGCACTTTTCTCTAAGCAGTTTAAACGTTTTTCTTAATTTCAGTTAGGGGGAGGGGGGTGTTACCCTGTATTTATTGGTATTGGTTTATACCATATTGGAAATGAAGAGTTCCACTATGTTAGACATGGGTAAAGAAGCCAATATCAAACATCTTTTGTTTGTTTGTTTGATTTTTCTTAAGACCACTGTCAAAGCAGAAGTAAAGGGGCTGTCATGTTTCCAGTCTATGGTCTAAGTCTCATGCAACAGTTTCTCTGTGCTGAATCATGACTCTAAAGCAAAACATACTATCTATCTATCTATCTATCTATCTATCTATCTATGTATCTATAGTATCTATACCCGAAAAAAATAAAAAGACACAATAAGGATGGTGGGCCGGTGTCATGATTTGAGGAACGTTTGCTGCTCTAATTGTGAGTCACACACATTTGTTCTGACAACAACAACAGAACACACAATATGACTCATTGCTATCCACTGGAATTCTGTTAAAATTAGGTTCAATACCAACACACTGATAACAGTATCGGTATTGGTAAAAGTTAACAATGCAGTTGCCTGAAAATGGCTTCACTGTAACTTGTCATTTCTGTGCACCTAATATTTTAGTTTTGTGGTCATTTCCATTAATATACTTTAATTTTTATCTACCTCACAGTCTTTTCCAGTTAAAACAGAGACGAAAATAAAACCTGTGTTCCAATTCATTGCATATTTTTGTGTGGTAGAAGTATCGGTATCGGAGAGTACTCAGATCCAAGTACCGGTATCATATCGGTTTAGAAAAAGTGGTATCAGTGCATCCGTAGTTAAAATCTGATTACTGTAAAAAAAAACATCCTGACTTTTCAACATAAAAAAATAGAGATGTATCAAAAGAATTGGCTGGTGCTCAGAATCAAATAAATTCATGATGGGTCAGTCAGGAATTAAAAAATCTATTTTTTTAAACAATACTGCAATGAAAAAAAAAAACAAAAAACAAAAAAAAATCCCGTGTTTGTATACCATTCCTTCCCAAATCATGATTCCATGTTGTTAAATTCAGCTTAAGCTGAAAATGCTGTTCAAAAATGAGAAATCAGTATCATCCCTCAAATCCCAAATCGGTGTATCTTTAGATGTTAGACTTGAGATGATTGAGAAAAATAAAAATAGCTTTATCACAATCTGCATAAACATGTTAACATGTTATGAATGACTTAATGGCAGCGAGCTTGTCTGGTGCTGATTTGATCATTGTTTAAGTCCTCTCCCTCATCCATTCATCTCATTAACACAAACAGCCCACTCACGGACATGAGAATGTCAACAGTCCCCACGTGTGATGTCTCCACACACACACACACACACACACACACACACACACACACACACACACACACACACACACACACACACACACACAGTCTCCTTTATGTAATGGGTCACTCTGTAATGGATGAAAGGAGAAAACATTTAGAGAAATGGTTGAAACATATGGGCACACGCAGCTGCTGCAGTCTAAAAGAGGCGACTCCTCTGGGGAAAACAAAACTTCCACTTTCTCGCCGAGGTGAGGAAGAGGTCGTTGAGAAGAGGATTTCACAGAGGAAGGGTTATCCGAAGAGATCTAAAGTGTCTGATACTTGTAGGATTACTGTATTACTAATCTGCTAATAATAATAATTACAAAAATAATACAGATCAGCACAATGTCCTATAATATAAAAAGATTTTGAGACTCTGTGCATGGGTTATTATAGAGATAAAGGTGGACATTGGGGCAGAAAAGGACACACGTTGCATTCACACGGGCTCGTGTGTGCGTGCGCTCCTGTGTATGTGTTTACATGACGACACACACACAGGGTGAGGCTCTGCAGCCATCATCCTAACAGCCCACGGAGTAAGTTGATGGTCTTTCGTAATTAACCCGTAATTTCTACAACCACGTAAAAGCACGCTGAAAAAAAACATGACGTCTTTGCTTACATTATTTATTAACGCGGCTCTTCGCTCTGGTTTCCTCCTTCATGCAGCTCATAGGTGAATTTCCCATCAGCAGCTCTTAACGCGCCTCCAGCTCAAACATCTCCGCTTTGACGTTCTGCTGCAGCCTCTTTGACATCTGATTCTGGATCCTTGTGTTGAAGGTTGGTGCTTTAAAGCGCAGCTGAAATATTCCTCCCTGTTCGACACAGCAGTGATGTGATCTGATTGGCTCAGCCGGTGTGATGTCACACATCTTGTTTACGGAACGTTTCCGTTTTTAAAGATAAAAACCCCACTTGTTTCGTGCTTTAAATGTTTCAGATCCGTTAACAAAAGACTAAAAGGATTATTTCATCTATTAAGGTGGAAAAAACAATCAAACCACTTAATTACCTCCCTTGTTGAATCATGAATGATTTGGAAAGCTGGACTGTTTCATCAGCCTCAGCCTGACCGGATTACTGCCAGACCAGTGGATTTATAAAACCTGTCAAACAGGTAAAAGATCTCAAAAAGCAACACATCAGTCAGAGTTTTGACTCCAACGACTCAACACAGAGTGATCAATGTCTGCAGAGCCTATAACTTAGCTCAGTGGTTCCCAACCTTTTTCCAAAGGGACCCCTTTTTTTTACCAGTCAAATTTTTGACGACCCCCTCCCATTCTCTCTTCCAGTACAAACATTATTAAGAAGTGATAAAATTGTTCAAGCACATTTTAATATGCTTTGATTCAATAGATAACAGTAATAGTAAGCTCCAGTACAGAACAAAGTCATTAACAAAACCAAACAGAGCATAATGTGCTTGACAGTTTGTATTACTTTTCTGAACACATTGCTTCTTGTAAACACTGATAAATCAATCATTCCTTTCAATAAACGTTTGACACATAAAAAATACACAGAGCAAAATGTACATAAAGGTGTATATTACTGTTTATACTAGATTATTTACTGTAAGCGTTGTGATTAATCAACCAGTCCTATCTTTAATGAACTTTTGACACTTGAAAATAAAACAGTGAGCTGAGCAAAATGTTCTTAAAAGTGTGTTACTTTTTCTGTACTAATTATTTCCTGTCTTAATATCAGTAAACTTTTCACTCATGAAAAAAAATGTGAGCAAAATGTAGGCTATAAACAAGTAATAAATGAAGTTTTAACCCCTTAAAGTGGAGAGGTCCTGGCGACCCACTGAGAGGCTTTGGCGCCCCCTTGTGGGGGTCGGGACCCCCAGATTAGGAACCACTGACTTAGCTGATATTTACATCTAGGCTATCACAGCTAGGAAGGGATTTATTTTTCATAGGTTTTTTTTTGTTCTATCGCCTCTATTTCAGCTGCTTTCCTCAATCCTAAACCTCAACCAGCTCCAGACAGCTAAAATCAAAATGAATCATATTTTAGTGCTGCATGGCGTAGCTAGTGGTTAAATGCCTTTTTGTTTAGCATCTATTATTTTTCTCATTGGCCTAACTATTTGCAAATTGTTCATCTGTCAAATTTTAACCCTGAAGAACCCGTGGGGACACAGGTGTCACAACCCATTTCAAACGTCTGCAAATTTGCTTCTTGAGTGAAATATTCATATTTGAAAACCTCAAGCGACATTCTATCCATATATATAGTCATCCCAATACTCTTTATAATGTAAACATTCATACTGAACCCACTTATCAGTGCAATGAGTTCAGTTCATTATTCCAATAAGGAAAATGTTTCCTATCTAAGGAAACCCAGATTGCATCGAGTCACTGACTTGTTGTGTCAGCATCTTTACAACAATAATACTTATACTAAGCAACAGTGGAGAGAAACACACACACACACACACACACACACACATACACACACACACACACACACACACACACACACACACACACACACACACACACACACACACACACACACACACACACACACACACACACACACACACACACCGGTTGAACTAGTTGTAGCACATTTTATGGTGAAGAAAAGTTAACATGCTCAGTGGTTAGCAGCAGTGAGCCAGCCGATGGCCCCCCCATGAGGCCACCGTAGCTCAGAACACCATTGAGCTTCTTCTGGGGAGAACAACACTTAAAGAAAACATAAAGCTAACAGCTGAAATAGCAGGAAATGATGCATTTAGTGAGTAAATAATCTAAAAACAAGGAACCTTCAGGTTCAAAATTTAAGCATTTAACCTGTGAGATCAAATGTACGCTAGATTTTTTTGCTTGCCATATTAACCAACATGTTTTCCTAAATCTACTTTAAATGTGTACAGTCCTTAAAATCCACACGATTCAAACAAATCCTCAAGCCCTGGTAATTGACTTAATGTTTCCCTGTGGTTTTTTGTATTCCTGCTTATGTGGCATGATTATAATTAGAAATAAATCCGTGGTTAAATCTTTTAAGCACACATCCAGTACATGCTGTACATTTCTACCGGGGGCTTCTGAATGAGGAAAAACAAGATCAGGTTACCATTCTGAAGAAATGCAGGGCTAATGTGACAGAAACGACAATAATAGCTCTGACATTCAGTCAGCCTGAAGGCATCTGGGACAGAAGAACTCATGGTGTCCAAGAATCTCCATGACAGTGTTTATGTGTTAGGTGTCTTAGGATGTTTTGGTTCCCAGAGATTAAACGGACCAACAGGAATTCTAAGTTAGACGTACTTGCTGACCTCCGTGTCCAAGTTGGACAAAGAGTTCTGCTGAAGAGAAACAAACAGAAAGGTCTGTCTCCACATGCCTCCCTTAGCTGGCTCTCATGGCTTCTTGTTGTTGCCCAATGTTTCTAGGAACAGACTAACCCAACACACACATCTGATTCTGGTTCTTAGTCTGAGCCTCCCCGGGACGTGGGCAGCTCATTGTGTGCATGCAAAACACAACTCTAGTGCAAACACGTGACGCATGACTCCATCGATCAAACTCTGCTGTCATTTCATACATATGTGCTTCCTGTCTGTGGGACCATGTGACTGTTCACTTTGGCCGAATGACAAGTCGCCTACACACACACATACACACACTCCCAGAGCCAAGCAGAGGAAACAAGGAAACACGTGTTGGGCTTTCCAAGAACTGGCTCATTCAACAGGGGAGAACCAGGAGCCCAATGTAGAGGAGGAGGAGAAGGGACGCACCGGAGATAAACTTTGTAGAAACGACTGGCTTGTATGACCCCAAAGGCAAATTGTGAAATTGTTTGAGAGGCAATGCAGAATCCCAGAGTGGCACGTTTTGCATAATTATTATTGCAATATACCAGCAAATAAAGGGGAAAGTAAAGTTATTTGTATTTCATAAATCTACAACAAAAACAAGTCACTCAAAGCAAAAAACTCAAGTTTCTCGAGTGTCAGAAGAAAACAGTCAGTCTATCTTCACTATATGGCACAAAGATCTCTGCAGGGTCTGCTCTGTCTTCTCGATCCCCAGTGAGTCGTGGCGGATGGCTGCTTGTACTGAGCCACGATCCTCTGGAGGTTTCTTCCTGTTAAAAGGGAGTTTTCCTCTCCACTGTCGCTACATGCTTACTTAGTATGAGGACTTGATGCAATTTGCTGGGTTCCTTATATAGAACACGTTTTACTAATTGGCTTAATGAACTGACCTGTGTTGGAATGTTTCCTGTGTGAAGTGCATTGAGACGACTTGTCGTGATTTGGCGCTATATAAATAAACTTGAATTGAATGGAATAAATGCTATAAAAGTCCCAGTGATGAAACACTGTTATTATATGATCTTAAACATCTGGGACACTATAAGTCCTGATTTTAGTGGAGGACCTAGAATAGGGGTGTCTAAACATTTTAGATGAGTGTCAAAACAGTCATGTTTAGAGCCCTTGCGGGTCACAAAAGTGGCATTTTATTAATTTGAAAAATGCAAACATTATTTTACGGTTGTTATATTTATTTGCACACCTCACAATAGGTCCAAGAAGTAACAGTCTCATAAAAATGTTAGAAAGTGCCAATTTATGTTAGCAGGCTCTGTATTTTGAAATAATGTATAATTCTCCTGAAATAATACACCCCCCTTTATTGTTTACATACTTTTTATAAACTTGTTTTGGCCTATAAAGAGGCAGACTGAGACATCCCAGATGTAAAACAGAATGCTACCATAAATAATTCATCCCCTGTGCAGTAAGAGTGTTTAACTCCTCAGTTAAACTGGTGCTGGCATTATCCTGGTACACAATAGCATCAGTGCAATATTCAGTATGTTCAATACTTGTGCAATACCAGATGTACATTAGCATGTCTGTCCTTTATGCTGCATAGTTCTGGAACCCAAGTTTCCTTTTTATTTGTTGTTTTTAGTGGTTGGATGATACAGTAATAGTTTGTGTGTTTACCTGTAAGCTTATTACTTTTCTTCTTCCTTTTCTCTAAGTGTTGGTGCTTCTGTAGCAAATGGATTTCCCCACTGTGGGATTAATAAAGTCTATTCTATTCTATTGTATACTCAGAGTCTATGCCACATCTGCATTGCGGCTTCTAAAACAACAAAGTGGGTCTTTGGATGATCTTCAGAAACAAAATGAACTTTTACAGTGATTGCCAATGAAATATTTACTCTCGGGCTGCGCAGTGGCACAGTGGTTAGAGCTGTTGCCTTGCAGCAAGAAAGTCCTGGGTTCGCTTCCCGGCCGGGGATCTTTCTGCATGGAGTTTGCATGTTCTCCCTGTGCATGCGTGGGTTCTCTCCGGGTACTCCGGCTTCCTCCCACAGTCCAAAAACATGACTGTTAGGTTAATTGGCCTGTCTAAGTTGTCCTTAGGTGTGTGTGTGCATAATTGTTTGTCCGGTGTGTCTCTGTGTTGCCCTGCGATGGACTGGCTCTCTGTCCAGGGTGTACCCCGCCTGATTGCCCGTTGACCACTGGAGATAGGCACTAGCCCCCCCCCCCCCCCCCCGCGCGCGAGGACAAAGCGGGTTCAGAAAATGGATGGATGGATATTTACTCTCAGATGTAAAAATGGCAGCAATAAAGGATATAAATAACACAATATACAAAATAAATCTTGTTAATTGTCTAATTAACAATGTTTACACTTTACACTCTAATCAACAACGGTCACATTCGATGGCCTTATTTCTTCGTGGTGGCTCAACAGCTGAAAAGTTTGGAAACCTGTTCTGAAACTTGGAAAGCCAAAGTATGCAGGGAGTAAAAAAAAGCATTTTTGGGCATCTAGGGTCAGAAGAGGTCTGAGAGATTTTTGAGTTTCTCACGGAGTTGAAGCCACAACTTTCTTTAAACATTTTTGAATTCTCAAGGAATGACACACATCAACATGCTGTTGAGGTATGCATACATCTACTGTAGCCATGTGACTCAGTATTTGTTTACATGCTATTCTAGTTCATGCTAGCCGATGTTCTCCCCACCACTTAGCAGCAGTGAGAGACGAGGAAACGGGGTGGTTTTCTGAGATGCAGATTGCCTAATCTCTCCCCAGCACTCCCTGTGAGGTCAACAATGCATTCATTTCATCACTGCGGCAACGGTGGGAGTCTCTCAGGGGGGTGTGCTGCCTGAGCCAATCACAGCACAGCCTGAGCTACACACAACCCAGCTACCAGTCCTGCTGCTGTAGGGTCTGCGAGGGCTCAAATGCTGGTTAAAGACACCACAATGTAAACAAAAACATAAATCAATGCAGATCTGCTGTGATAAAAATGGATTAAAGAGCTTCCTCTCATTAGATTTAGTAGCCTACATGACCAGATAGTTTTCTTAGCTGCAATGAATAACATCAAAAATGACCCACAGATACTCTTATCAAAAGAAAATAGGTGTTATGAAACTTTTGCAAATCGTTTTTTCATTAGTCTGCAAGCAGCGGTGTGTGTGAGTAGATGCTCCTTTGTCAGGGTTAAACTATTTCATTAGTAATTTTACTTGTCAGCTTGTTTATCAGTGCGATTCCACTTCAGGCCAGATCTCGTCTTTAGAGAGCTGGAACATTGTTCTAATGAAGAGAGCAGGATATTTACATTTTTTTAAAATCATTTGAGTATTTTGTTTACTTTGAGGATATTTTTGCACAACTTGATTAGAAATGGGCCTCAAATGTGACATTTCTTGAGATTTAATATTAAATTTGACATAAAAGTAAACCTCTCTGACTACTCATTTTTATCTACCCCTTCTAAACGTTCATAAAAAGCCAACTGTGGGTAGTGCACGAACATTTCAGAAGGTCAGTGACCCAACTTTCATTAAAGATTAACTTTGAGCAGATATTATAAAAGAAACTGTAGAATCTACACGTACAGCCCGAGCCCACATCCATAACAACAGGATGGTGTTATGTAACCTCCACTGGCTGTGGACTAACGGCTCTTCTTACGCATGCATGTGGGCTTCAGGAGATAAGAGGCACATGGTTCTACTCAGGCACAAACATTTATCAATGTTATCAGCAGAATCGGAACAATATGGGTACAGTATGTGAACTATACAGCTGTAAAATCTCCTTCTGAGATCATAAATAGAAAAAAAAACAACAAAAACATGCATGTGAGGTTAGTCTGTCACTTTGAATAAAAGCGTTGACAAAATGCCTAAACGTACATTTCTAAGTCTTGCTCTACTTCAAAACTGCATTTTTTTTGGTCATTTACTTAAAAACTGACTTTCACTCAGGACAATATATTTACTCCACATTTTTACAATGCCTAAAATTATTTTTTCAGTGTTTTCCAGTGTTAGTTTTGTTACCCAAGACCAGCTGTCCGTGGGGCTGTCGTCACTGTGGCTGCTGAAGTCTTTTTCCTCCATGTGGCTCATGGCTCCATCCTGCTGTGAGGCTCAGAACATCTCTGAACTAATCTCTTAATTTGATTAAAACATCTGAAAAAAAGTCCTGAAAAAAGTGTAAAAGTCTTGATTTCTGATTAATTTTGACCAAAGTCAAATTACGTCTGTAGTAGACGGGATGAGTCCCTGAACTCTGACAGATCTGTTTTGAGTGAGCAGCTAGTGCTTGTGCGACATGGACAAGTGTTTTACACTAAATTTATCAACAAGTGGCTTCTGGGAACGACGTCCTAGGAGGAAATCTGAGAGCGTCTAGAGCTGCTGGACTGTCTTGTTGATTAATGTGCTGATCTTTTGGTATATGACAGTTATAACGTACACAATTCAATTCAATCACACAGAAACACCTCAGAAATGGAGTTTAGCTGAAGTTGTGCACTGTCTAACAAGCTATCGGATAGTTATGCTTCACATTCAAACACGTGATTTTTATACATCTGTACATTTATACAGTTGAAAAGGCTGCTGGTGAACAGTTGATTTGTGTCTCTCATACAGGTACAAACAACATTGCACATGACTAAAAAAACACACAGCTCTGCAGTAACATTTTTGTAAACAGCGAACAAAACTTTCATTTACAAGATACAAATCTAAAAAAATAGAATTCAAAGTTCATTTTACGTAAAAACTTACAAGCAAATTAAGCAACTTCCATAAACAGGCTGCCGTTAATCGGCTTACATTGCACACAAAAGATTGTGTTTTCATTAAAAAAAACTCTTCCTGCATGCATCTGCAAAGAAGTTGGAGCACTATGTTATACATTTGAAGGAAAACAAAAATCAAATCCCGCTGTGTAAACATCTACGTCTCACCTCCTTGTCCTAAATTTTAAACAGTTTCTGTGAAGTCTTTAAATAATGAAACTTTTCAAATCTGTGTAAAAACACAGTGGTGTGTTTCTTCTCATTTCAGTCCTCTCTGTGACATTTTTCAGGTCCTTTGTTTCGGTCAGATATGTTTTCCGGTCAGGAAGAAGAGCGGTCGGTCCTCTTTGGCGTTGGCAGTCTGGAACTCGTCGCTCAGCCTGAACCTCCACTCTTCCTCGAGCTCCAGTCTGCCCACAGTCTGCCTCAGTGAGCTGCGATCTGCACTGATTACGCACAGGGTAGCACCTAAAGGGGGCAGATAGAGGGGAAGACATTATATACATGACTAATAGATTTATATTGTTGCTGTAAACAATGTTTCTTAACTCATTAACTCATTCACTGCCAGCCGTTTCCTGATCACTAACGGCATTCGCTGCCAGCGTTTCTCACCGTTTTTACTGTTTTTTTAAGAGTCACAGAACGTTGCGCGCTAGCATGATGTCGATGCCAAAACAACCAAAACAAAGAGGAGACTCACCTCTTACATCAGGAAGAAGCCGTGTGTGTTATCCGTTCTTTCATAATCCGTTGTCGAATTGTGATCGGCAGACGCTTTTCCGGTTCGCACCTCACTTTTTTTTTACAGGAACGGCAAAAAACGATCTCCAAACACATGTTTGTGTTGCTTCCTGATCATGTGATCTGTGATGTATGCGGATGAAGATCGGCTTCAGGGCTGAGATGTTTGTTCTCTCAGGGCGGGGGCTCGTTCCAATGCTCAAACAGTAAAAAAAATGCAAATGGTGACTTTAGTCGTCATTGGCAGTGAACGGTTGGATCTAAAATGACGACTTTAGTCGTCAATGGCAGTGAATGAGTTAACTAACTAGAGTCATCATTAGCATTTTTTTCTACTGTGTGGGCGTCGGAACGAGCCCCCGCACCGCGAGGACAAACATCCCAGCTCAAAAGTCGATCTTCATCAGCGTACGTCACACGTCAAGTGATCAGGAAGCAGAAAATCCATGTGTTAGGAGATCGTTTTGGGCCGTTGCTGTAAAACAAAGTGAAACGTGAACCGGAAAGGCTTCTGCCGATCACAATTTGACAACGGATTACGAAAGAACGGATAACGCTCAAAACGTGCAGATTCTTCCTGATGTACGAGGCGAGTCTCCTCTTTGTTTTGGTTGTTTTGGTAGTTTTGGCGTTGACATCATCATAGAGCGCAATGTTCTGTGACTCTTAAAAAACAGTGAAAATGCTGAAAAACGCTGGCAGCTAAGGGCTTTTCTGATCAAGAAAAAGCTGGCAGTGAATGAGTGAATTCTTTTGAATCTGGACTAGATAGAAAATGTTACGCTACACATACGGAATGACTTGATGGATAACTTGAGCGTCATGTGAATTTTTATTATTCCAAGTTCAGGTTGTGAAGGTAACAGATCAAGGATGAAAATAAACATTTCATCTCTCCAGCTCCTCCTGGGGGTTTCCAAGGAGTTCCCAGGCCAAAGAGGATATATAACCCCACCCCCTCAAAGTTCTGGGTCTGTCCTGAGTTCAAGTCTCATGCCGTTTCCACATTACCCTGGGTCCGGGGGGTGTCTTTCCGGGTCCCGCACCGGTAGAGTTTGTTCACGCACACTTCTCAGGAATGTATAATCCTGGGGCAAAAAATGTGCAGAGAAGTCCACGAAGAATCAAACAAAGGTGGCTGTGAGCAGTCCTGGCGCAGCTCAAGCTGTGTAGTGTACCAAAAGGCCGAGTATTTTCATCAAAATTAATGTTTATCTGGTCCCGGGTAAAACGTCGGAGGAAAAGAGGTAAACGAGCAGGAATCCAGGTGAGAATAAGACTTCTCTTAAAGCGTGGTTTATCTAGTAAACATCGGCGTGATCTTCTAGCTTCTTTTCCTTTGTTTGGCGATTTGAGCGCCACTTCCGCATTCCCGCCAGGCCGCGTTGCGGCGCGGTTTCTCCGTCCAAGTTTTTTAAGGTCAGTTTATCCTCTTTCCTCAGTGGTTTCTCCTCCTGTTCCCTCCATAAGTGGTTTTTATAAACACCGTGGATCTGACCCTGCTAATTTACGTCCACTAACTCCAGCTGTTTCTGTAGTTTCTGATTCCTCAACCTCACTCAGCATGGCTCTATTAAATACCCGCTCTGTTAACAATAAGACCTTCCTGCTCAATGATCTCATTCTCTCTAAAAACCTGGATTTTCTGTTTCTGACTGAAGTTTGGCAGCAAACATCTGATTATTCTGGTCTGATTGAACTCTGCCCGAGTGGTTATTCTTTTCTTAGCCAGCCCCGGGGTTCTGGTCGTGGTGGAGGCCTAGCTGTTGTTTTCAGAGACCGTCTTCCATGTAGCTCTACAACCTCTGGTCACTTTGCTTCCTTTGATGCCTGAGCCACCTCAGCTGACTCCCTTCAATACAGAGGAGCCGTGGCTCTCTACTCGGTGATGCCACACACACACACACACACACACACACACACACACACACACACACACACACACACACACACACACACACACACACACACACACACACACACACACACACACACACACACACACACACACACACACACACACACACACACACACACACACACACACACTACCAAGATGCTTGCACTCCTCCTTCTAAGAACTTCCCCAGACGTTGTGATAAAAAAAAAGAAAATCACAGATTCGATCCTGATGGTGATGTGAAGCCACAAGGTAAAAACTACACACCACACATGAAATTATGTCACACGCAATCACTTCTCGGTACGTAACATCTTTGTCAACTCTTATACCTTTGAGAAAGGTGAACTTCTTGAGGAACACAGAGGTCACAAATGTGTCAGGGAAACAGAGAAGAAGACCGCTGAACAGCAATCCGGCCGTGCTGATGTTGACAGAATGAGGTCTGGAACTCACAAAGCACACCGTCACCTGCAGGAGGAGGACAAATAAAGATGACGGATTTCTCTGAAGGGTCCTGTACTTTTATTTTATTTGGTTTAAAAGCTGATCCACCACACAGAAGATGGTGGGCGTGTCCGTACCTCAGGTCCCAGGTTGAGGTAACAGTCCACAGTCAGAACAGGGTGTGTGTAGTTCTTGGTGCTGAGTGGAAACAGCTTCTGGCTGGTGTGTTGTAGGTATTTTTCCAGGAGGAGCTGAGCTGGTGTAGCCAAGAAAAGATGCTTGCTGTCAGGAGCACAGATGTATTGTGATGGTCCCACTGAGGTGGAAACATCTGTCATCTGGATTGAAAAGAGCATTTGGACAATAGATCAGACTCTTTAGGAAATTTAAATTATTGTAAATATTCAACTGACCTAGTTGTCTCTCCTAATGTAACTGTTCTAAAGCTCTTTGAGGCTCTACCTTGGTTTTGATGATAAATGTTCTGTATCCTCCGATGGCAATCTGCTTCTTCATGACGCTGAAGTTGTTGAACTTGCAAACCAGCAGCCCAGCGCTGTGCAGCCTCAGGGTGAAGTCAACGTCGTGACAGGTGAAGCGGTTCTGGTCGTACTGAACGTTCTGACTCCGGTCAACATTTAGGAAGAGGAAGTCGTGAAGGTGACCTCTGGAGAACGGTTCCCACTGTTTAATACCTGATCAACAGTTAAAAAACACAACAGAATTTTATAGTAATTGCAAATCAGGAAAGTTTGTTTGATTACTTTTTATTAAAGGAGGCTTTTATTGCAAGCATTAGAAAATACTTAGATTTTTTTTCTGTCTATTATTTTTTGAGTCCTGACCTGCGAGTCTACAGCTGCTCCACTTCCTGATGCCACATAGACCATAGTGGGCCAGATCAGTACAGGCCTCCATGTGCTGTAAGACCTGTTTCAGGGACACAGCATGGTCGGCTGGGCCACTGTCAAAAGGCAACAAACGAAAACGAATGTTAAACCCAACTGAAAATGCCTAAAAACGATTCCATTAACATTCCTACACAAGCGGCAACAGCGAGAATCTTCACCTGGGTTTGTCCAGGTCCACTGCATTCCACATCACACAGGAGTCATCAGAAAGGACGATGAAAGGCCAGACGTCTCCTGCTGGACTTCCTCCCTCCAGACGCCGACTCCGCTCCAACTCCAAGTTGTGATACGAAAGTTCTTTTATCAGGAAGTGAGCAGCACCTGCATCAGCATCACGGATAAATAATAAAGGTGATGAACACAGAAAAAAAACTTAAGCTAAAGTAAAATAATGCTAAAACTGATAAGCTAACAGTGACAAACCTATCCCAGCTCCGTTGAAGACAGTGGGCAGCACCAGCATGATGTGGTTGGGCCAGTACTTCTTGTAGACAGCCATCTCGTACTCTTTAACCACCAGGATGTGAAGGTGTGAAGCTCCATCCATGGCATGGTACAGGTTAAACAGGCCGTGCTCGTGACGCCCGGTGGTCGGGGTGAAGATTGGACTCTTGATGCAGTCTGGACTCTGAATAAAAACATTTACAGTCACTATGCATCCAGATAATAGAAACACACTGCTATTGGCTCCAAAAGTAAAATAAACATTCTATCTGAGGAATAGACTGCTGAATAAACAAATAATAACCTTATAAAATCACTTTATGGAATATGACAATAAAAAGAATAAAAATAAAACCATACCATAGTTATTTATATAGCACATTTAAAATGCAGCATGGGAGCTGCCCAAAGTGCTGCACAGGCTAAAACAAAACGCGACCATTCTAAGGAACTAAAACAGAAGATAAAAATACCAGTCAAAAGCAGATAAAACATGATGAATACTAAGAGCACATTAAAATAATGACACAATAAAACACTAAAACAAGTCACTGTCTAAAAGCCAAATCGTAAAAGTGGGTCTTTAAACGAGATTTAAAAACCGCCAGTGATGGAGCCTGCCAAACTCCAATGGGCAACGAGCTCCACAGCTTTGGGGCCGCATGCACAAATGCTCGTTCACCCCGCAATTTTGTACACAGCAGCAAAAGGTCAGCCGACCTCAACGCGTGCGTGGGTACATATGGAGTGAGCAGGTCAGAGAGATAGGGAGGTGCCAGGTCGTTGAGTGATTTAAATACAAAAGTCAATAACTTAAACTGTACTCTGAAAATGACAGGGAGCCAGTGAAGATGTGTCAGGACAGGGGTAATATGGCTACATTGGTGTATATTTGTCAAGAACCTGGCAGCAGCGTCCTGGACGACCTGCAACCGATTCAGGGCAGAGACCGGAACACCAACGAGGAGGGCATTTGCGTAGTCAAGGCGAGAGGTAATGAAGGCATGGATGACTGACTCCAAATGCCTCTGTTTCAGGATTTGTCTGAGGCAAGTCAGGTGGTGAAGCTGATAAAAGCAAGACCTCACTACGGAGTTTATCTGTGGGGCCATTGTGAGTTCAGCATCCAGCTTTACACCGAGACTTGACACACAGTGTTTGGGGTTGAGGGTTAAAAGGTCACAAACAGGGTGAGAGCCATGGTGGTTGCGGGGGTCAAAAACAATAAACTCAGACTTCTTTTCATTTAACTTTAAGAAGTTGGATGCCAGCCAGCCCTTCACGTCATCTAAACATGCAGCCAATCGCGAGCCCGCATTCTTCTCATCCATTACTACATATAGTTGACAGTCATCAGCATAAATGTGATAGCTCAGGTCATGCTGATTCAGGATAATGCCCAGAGGCAGAAGGTAGATAGAAAACAGCAAATGCCCAAGAACGGAACCTTGTGGCACCCCCCAAGGCAGTGGAAGACATGAGGATGCACAGTCACCAATCTGTATAGAGATGGATCGGTTTGATAGGTAGGAGCGGAACCATTTATGTGCCACCCCCGTCACCCAAACCCAAGACGATCCAGTAAAATATGGTGATCGACCGTATCAAAAGCCGCTGAAAGGTCCAGCTGGAGCAGCAGTACCCTAGACCCAGAGTCAGATGCCACCAGAATGTCATTTACCACCCTAATCAAAGCAGACTCAGTGCTATGGTGTGGTCTGAAGGCGGACTGAAACCCATCCAACAATGAGTTGCTGTTCATATGAGCAGAGATCTGACCATGAACAATTTTCTCAAGGACCTTCGAGAGAAACGGGACTTTCGATATAGGGCAGAAGTTCTCATAAGTGGAGAGATCCAGACCAGGTTTTTTCAATATCGGCTGAACAACCGCATCTTTAAAAACCTTAGGGAACACTCCAGTGCTGAGGCCAATGTTAAAAATGTTCATAAGTGCCGGGGTCAGTGCAGACAACGAGTCGCACACCAATTTAGTCGGGAGGTAGTCCACCGAAGAGCCAGCTGGCTTCATGGATCTAATTAGTTTCCTCAAGTCAGCAAGCTGAAATGGAGCAAAGTCCGAGAATGCAGGTGGGTCAGGCGGTTCCACATGGATAGTGTATATTTAAGGCTGGAGGCTAAGCCTAATACCAAGGATCTTGTTTAGGAAAAAGCTCTGTAGCTCTGTGCACAAAGCAACAGTGGGATTTAGACCATCAGACTCATTTAACAGCAGCAAGGAGTTGATTGTGCTGTACAGCCTAGACTGGTCTCCATGATGCTGTGAAATGATAATCATTAATTAAAAGTAATGTTATGTGATGAAGAATCTAAAAACTTCATGTTTTTACATGAATATGAAGGTGTTTTTTTTACCACTTTTATATTTTGATGGACTCCCTTATTTCTTATATATTTTTCATTTTAATATTAACATTACTTTTAGTTTAAAAAGATTGAGTTTTTGTGATTGTGAATATTAAAGACGTTCATCTATAAAGCCACTATTAAAAATATTCTTCTGAATTTAAACAAAAAGTAATGGTTTATTTAGACCAGTGGTCCCCAGCATCTGCTGTCCTTTTACCCAAATTCTAAAATAAAGAAAATTTGGCCGTAATCTTGTTTAATCACAAATGCATTAATATTGATTTAAAAACTACATATTTCTTTAAAAACGTTCAAATATGTTTTTAATACATGAAGTTTAGTCTAACTCTGATATATTCTAGTTCACTCCCTTTGTATGGCTCAGTACTCATAAAGTAGCTCTCAGCATCACAAAGGTTGGTGACCCCGATTTAGACTTTAGAGCTAAAGTTTTACCAATTGCACCCCCTAGTGGAGTGTTCACAGTGTTGCGCTTTTGGTGACAGTCACTGAAAGGAAAATCAAAACATTTTAATAGATTTTTAATTATAAGCTGTAACGGACAAGCCCAACACTGTCAATCAGTTCATTAATTATTCATAATTATAATTTCATCAATTCAATTATCAGTTAATATCAATTATTTTATTATTTTCCTGCATAAACAGCTTCAAGACCTAAATTCCCAAAAATAATTTTCTCTTTTTAGATGTTTTTCCAACATTTGTGTCAAGCTGTGTGAGATAAAATACTGTAAGGTTGTTTAGAAAGCTTTAACAAAGAGCAGACATTACAGTCATAATTTATTCAGTGGTGGGTAAATATTGTAGAAAAGGACAAACCCAGTCAGAAGTGAGAGGCAGCCTCATGCTCTCCAGCTGGCCTCCTGGTTGGCTGAAGCTGAAGTAGTGCTCTTTAGTTTTTGGGATGATAAAGTAGAGTTGAATATCTTCTCCAAGCAGCAGATGGGTGAATGTGAAGGTGTGGAGTGTTGACTCGTACATCTGAATGGTGATCACATTTAGTATTAATATTCTAGAAGAACTGAATTCCTCCCACTGTGTGTGTGTGTGTGTGTGTGTGTGTGTGTGTGTGTGTGTGTGTGTGTGTCTGTGTGTGTCTGTGTGTGTCTGTGTATGTGTGTGTAGTCCCAACCTGGTATCTGGGGTTGAAGCCCAGGTACTGATGACACTGCTCACAGTGATGGTAGGTGTTGTAGGCTGCATACTTAGACAGCTTAATCCTCGCCGTGCGTCTGCATAGATACACGTCCTCCTGCCGTGCAACATTTCCTAGACAGGATAAAAGGAGAAAGAGGAAATTGGGATAAATGCAAATTAAACCCTTAATTTCAAAGCAAAAAGGAGGATTTACGTGCAATTTCTTATTTCACTTACCCTCAGCCTGGGGTTTAAATCCAGGGCAATATATGGTACTGATATCATCATATTTGGCATCATGGATGGTGTAGTCAAAGGGCATTGTTTTTATGATGTCTGTGTTGGGCCAGGGAGTGTTGTATGCATGGTGCTGTCCTCCTTCAGTCGGAACACCTAAAACACACAAAACATTTATAAAGTTTTATTCAAGGTATATTTTGATGAGTCTTAGAATTATATGATTTTAAAATCAAGATCTGGATAATAAAAGCCTGAAGTCTCCATAGCCAACATGGAGTGAATAAGAACAAATGTACTGACTGTAATTGATGTCATCCTCATCGTAGATATCCACCTCCATGAGCCTGATCAGCATGCGAGACAAGATACCCAGGAAGTGCAGGTATGCCCCTGTCTTTCCCACCTAACCAGGGAATAATACAGTTAGGGGGAATGTGACTTTTACTACATTTAAAATGCAGTCAAAAAGGAACTTGTTACAAAAAATCTCTTATTGTTAATTTATATACACCGTATTTTCCAGACTATAAGCCACTACTTTTTCCCCACGCTTTGAACCATGCGGCTTATGATGAGGTGTGGCTTTAGTCAACCAGAAAGAATGGATGCTGGAAAGTCTAATGAAGGAATAGTTAAAGGAGTGCTACGGAAAGCGCCCAGGAGGATTTTTTTCATAGTAAAATGGCTCTGCTTGTTTTCCCAGCTTCACCCCGGGATGATGACAGCAACACGGAGAGCGACACTGACATCGCCACAGAAAAGGTATGTGACGAAGCTCTTCTGAGGCTGTTCAACTCTGACACTGAAGAAGATTACTTCAGTGGTTTCAGCGCGCAGGAGGACGATGAATAAACTAATCAATAACTTTTCTATTTTGTTTGATACTGATCGGTTTGCAGGGGCCCCTGGGCACAATGTGCTTAGAGCTGAGAGGCGAGAGCTCTGATGGTTGATGCGCTCCAGACAGATGCGTCCTGAAAATGGCCAGAGTAACATTCTCAAAGTGTCGCCATCTCAAAAACAAATTTAACACGCGATCGTTTATGTCGGCTCATATCCTTTTATATTTTCTATCTTTTATTTGTGCCTGCTGCGGAGCAGAGCGCATAACCTGTTTCGTCCTCCGGTGATTTCACCTCACCGGTGCGGCAGGAGTTACTTTTGAACTGCAGTTCAAAGGTAACTCATAAGGTGAATAAATATGAAGCCTTGTAGCAGTTTTTCTTTAGGACTGAGAGGAGATGCAGGAAGATAATAAACAGACAGGACAGAAAAAAAAATAGTCAAAATAAAAACAAGTTCGTTTTTGTTGCTGGTGGTTGCAACAAACAGACACCATTGAAGGTAATCAGAAGTGAGGAACAGAAAATTAAATGATTCTTTCAATGTTTAGAGCAGCAGGAACTCTGAGAGGCTAAAGGCGCATCAGTGAGTTTGCGGCGGCTGCGCAGGGGGAGAGGGCTGAAGCAGGAACGGTAAAGATGCAAAAACTACCATTGTTAAAAGAAATGTGTGTTAACTTAGAAAATGTGGGCGTAATTTTAATTACTTCTCACCATTTTTCTCCAACGTTAAGACTGCTGCACAAAAAAATAAATAAAGACTGCTGCTTGTGTGGGCCCCCTTGTGGCTGTGGGCCCCTGGGCCTGTGCCCAGTTTGCCCGTATTACAATCCGGACTTGGCTCTATAGTCTGGAAATTACGGTGTGTGTGTGTGTGTGTGTATATATATGTATATATATTTATATATACATATATATATATATATATATATATATATATATATATATATATATATTTTTTTTTTTAATATTTATATATATATATATATATATATATTTATTTATATATATATATATACCCTTTCATATATACATACGTATATATAACCCCCTTTCGGGGGTTGATTTTTACGGGCTCAGAGTTAAAGGAGACTGTGCCTGTGTGCGATCCCGGTGCTGCGGCCCCGCTGCAGACCCGGTTTGGTCTGGTCAATGCCAGGTCTGTGCTGAACAAAACTTTTATTCTTCGGGATTTTTTTATTCAGCATGACTTGAGTTTTCTGTGCATCTGTGAGTCCTGGATCCCGTTTGGTGACTCAAGCGCCCTGCTGGAGCTGGTACCACCTGGCTGCTCCTGTTTTAATATCCCCAGATCACAGGGCAGAGGTGGTGGGCTGGTTGTTGTTTTTAAATCCAGCTTTCCTTGTAAACAGCTTACACCAACCATGTCATTTTCTTCCTTTGAACTGTGCTTATTTGAACTGTGCATCTCCCCCCGCCTGCTCGTCGTGCTAATTTATCGCCCTCCTAAGACTGACTCTAACTTCCTTAATGATTTCTGTGATCTTGTGGCAGACTGCATCCTAAAATATGACTATGTCCTATTTTTTGGTGATTTTAACATCCATATATGCTGTCCTGACAATGTGCTTTCTAAAGGTTTTCTGAATTTGCTAGATTCATTCAATTTAACTCAATGGGTATCGTCCCCAACTCATGCCAGGGGTCACACCCTGGACCTGGTTCTCTCTCTTGGTCTCCCTGTCATGAACCTTGAGACTTTGCCTCCTGTGTTCTCTGACCACTCTCTAATACTCTGTGATTTTACGTTGCCATGGCCTGTCCCTGTGTGTGAAGCTCCAGCTACTAGGTTCAGAGCCCTGGATGCAGAAACTGTTGCAAAGTTTGTGGACTGTATGTCTGTAAGGTTAGAGTCCTTTAACCCAGATTCATCTAACATTGATCATTACTACCAACACTTTGATTTACTTTGTAATCAGGTCCTGGACGTGGTTGCCCCTCTCAAGCTTTGCAAGTCTAGACCTAAGAGGGAGCCTTGGCTCTCTGATGTCACATGGGCTTGTAGGCGGGCGTGTAGATCCTCTGAGAGAAAGTGGAAAAAGGATGGCCTACAGGTCTCGCGTGAGTTGTTCAGAGCATCTCTGGTTGCTTATCAGGATGCTGTGAGGGCTGCCAGAACTGCCTATTTTGCAGACATCATTGAAACAAACTCCAAGAATCCCAAGATGCTCTACAAAACACTGAACTCTGCTCTGGTGTATCAGGAGCCTAGCTTCATGTCTCCTACAGCTGCTGGAAACTCTGAAGATTTTCACAGATTCTTTGTTGAAAAAGTATCAGGCATTCAAGCAGCTATTTCTGGTAACTGTATTGACCCTGTTCCAGTTCCTTCATCACCACCCACCCTGAGCTCCCTCAATACAGTTTCTTATTCTGAGCTGAATAAGTTTGTTGCAAGGCAGAAGCCATCTGGCTCTCCACTTGACGCTCTGCCGCCTCGTCTCTGGAAGGCTGCCTTTCCGTGTCTTGGCCCTTCACTTGGTCAGATTATCAACGGGAGCCTCAGCACAGGTGTGGTCCCAGCTGCTTTGAAAGCAGCAGTTATTCGGCCGACCCTGAAGAAACCTGGTGCTGATGTCTCTGTGAAAGAAAATTTCTGGCCTATCTCTACCCTGCCTTTTACATCAAAACTGCTTGAGAAAGTCGTTTATCAGCAGCTGGTCTCACATTTAGCTGACTCTGATCTTTCTGAGGTCTTCCAATCCGGGTTCAGGTCTGGCCATAGCACAGAGTCAGCTCTACTGAGGGTCTCAAATGACATCTATCTATCACTAGATCTGGGTACATCTGTGGTGCTTCTGTTGTTAGACCTGACGGCAGCCTTCGACACAGTTGACCACGCGATTCTACTTGATCGCTTGGAACGATGGGTTGGGATCAAAGGGTCTGCTCTGGATTGGTTTAGATCTTATCTCCACAACAGGACATTCTGTGTTAAACTGGGTGATGTTTTTTTCTTCTTGGGAGGGGCTCCGCTGGGGGGTCCCGCAGAGATCGATCCTTGGTCCTCTTTTGTTTACCATTTATCTGCTTCCTCTGGGGTCAATCATTCGTAAACATGGCCTATCATTCCATCTCTATGCTGACGATTGCCAGATTTACTCTCCATTGTGTCAGGAGAAAGGACACTCCATCCAGTTCTTTGTGTCCTGTCTTAACGAGGTGAAGTCTTGGCTAATGGCCAACTATCTGCATCTGAATGAGGGAAAGACAGAGCTCATTGTTTTTCACCCCAACAGCAGGAATGTGGGTCATTATGTTGATCTTGGCCCTCTTTCTCCCTACTCATAACCAGTCATCACCAGTTTGGGAGGGAAAGTTGATGCTGGACTTAAATTTGATGCTCACATCAACTCTGTGATCCGGTCCAGTTTCTTTCACCTGAGACGCCTTGAAAAAATCAAGCCTATGCTGTCAAGACCCCACATGGAGCGGGTACTGCATGCATTTGTAATTTCTAGGCTTGATTACTGCAACTCTCTATATGCAGGGTTGTGTCAGTCATCACTGAGCCACCTACAGGTTGTGCAGAACAGCACAGCTAGGTTCCTGACTGGGACCAGGAAACGGGACCACATCAGTCCGGTTCTGGCCTCCCTGCACTGGCTTCCGGTTTGTTATCGTTCACACTTCAAACTCCTCGTCTTTGTCTAAAATTTCTTCCAGAGTGGTGCGCCCCCTATCTAGCCACACTCCTGAACAAACATTCCCCATTACGCGCTCTGCGCTCCTCTGACCAATGCCTGCTCGCTGTCCCTCATTCGAGGTGTCGTACTCGTGGGGACCGGGCTTTCTCAGTCCTAGCACCGTCCCTCTGGAACCAGTTGCCACCCTCAGTTAGGCTGTCCCCATCTCTGCCAGTCTTTAAGAGTCGCCTAAAAACCCCCCTCCTCCGCTTGGCGTTTCCTGAACATGTTTGAATTTGGCCATGTTAATGTTGATTTTATTTCCATTTTCATTGGTTCGCTCTATCCCTTGTTTTACCCTTTGTCTTCTACTAGAATGTTTTACCTTTTTTTTACTAATTTGCAATTTGAACTGCTTTTATTTTCGATTTATTCACCATATTTAACTTTGTCATGTAATATGTTCAGCGCCTTGCGCTACCCGACAGGGTTGTGGAAGGCGCTATATAAATAAAGCTTTGATTGATTGATTGATTAAACTGTGTCTTTGATGATGCTTACAGTATATTTGTGTCTGGACTCATCCTCACAACAACATCAGATGCCCGGTTACATATGCAGTAACGCCACAATCATGCAAATAACGTGTGGCCATTTTTCTAATCAAATGGACTCCTGGTTTCTACAGATAAACGTTTTCTTCTAAACTCGTAATAAACTGGCAACACTGCCTGAAAGGTAAAAAGAAGCATGAATGCATTTTCAGAGAGTCTGAAAAAAGCAAAATAAAGGAGCAGTAAACAATCACAAAACACAGCCAGAGTAGACGGTGATGATTGATGTTACCTGTGGGGGTCCGCTGAGCAGCAGCCTACGAGGGTGAAAGTTGTCACTTCGTCCTTCAGAGCGGTTGCTGCTGTCCATGTGGTTGGACCGAGGAACTGTCCACTGACGATAATAGAGAGACTGCTCTGTGCACGTCATCATTTTACTCAGCAAAGGTCTGCACAATGAAATAAACATCCTACATGTTAACATGTGTAATATTTATTGTATGTTTTTTACATCAGAAGTTAAAAAAGGCATCCATTCTTTTTAATAAGAACTAGAGCTAAGTAACCTCATGTGTGCCTCATATTTTTTATTTCAAACTTGAGAAAATAACTAAAACATTTCTAAACCTTCCAGAAATGTTTTATTTTTTAAAGTTTGGTCGATTGTTTAGAAATCCAAACATCCAGATTAAAAGGATTTTTTTCTTATAATTTCTGTAAAAGGTCCATCCATCCATCTTTCCATCCTCTTCCACTTATCCAGAGTCGGGTCACGGAGGCAGCAGCCTAAGCATGGAGGCCAAGACTTCTCTTTTCCCACTCACTTGGGCCAGCTCCTCTGGGTAATCCTAAGGCGTTCCCTGGCCAGCTGAGAGACATAGTCTCTCCAACGTGTCCTGGGTCTTCCTTTAGGTCTCCTTCTGGTTGAACGGGCACAGAAAACCTCCTCAGGGAGGCATCCTAACCAGCTGCCCGAGCCATCTCAACTGCCTCCGCTCGATTTGGAGGAGCAGCGGATCTACTCCGAGCCCCTCCCAGATGACTGAGCTTCTCATTCTATTTCTAAGGGGGACCCCAGCTCCCCTGCAGAGAAAACTTGTTTTGGCTGTTTGCATCCACAATCTCGTTCTTCCGGTCACCACCCAAAGCTATTGACCATAGGTGAGAGTAGGATTGTAGATCAACCGGTAAATCGAGAGTTTCGTCTTCGCAGCTTACTTCTCACCTAGATGACAATGGGCTTCTTGACCCATTCCAATCAGGTTTTAGACGTAATTACAGCACAGAATCTGCACACATTAGGGTACTTAATGACATCCTGATTCTAACTGACTCTGGCTCCCATGTGCTGTTACTCTTACTCGACCTGACCTCAGCATTCGACACTGTAGACCACACCATCCTATTTCATAGACTTGAATTTTGGGTGGGTGTGACCGGTACTGCCCTCGAATGGTTTCAGTCGTACCTTAATGGTCGGTGTTTTAGTGTTCATGTTGGAGACTGCTCTTCTCCCAATGTCCCACTTCCATGGGGAGTACCGCAGGACTCCATCCTGGGTCCTCTCCTCTTTTCAATTTACATGCTACCACTTGGTAAGATTTTAGCAAGTCTCGGGGTTAACTACCACTTTTATGCAGATGATTGCCAGATCTACCTTCAAATCAACCAACAGCACTCATTTTCTATAATGTCAGAATGCCTCTCTCAGGTCAGATCCTGGCTTTCTCAAAACTGCCTACGGTTAAATGACAGCAAATCAGATGCCATACGTTTTAGCCCCACTAACATGAATGGTGCTTTAGATGTCTCAACTCTCCCACTCAATCTCAAATCATGTGCCACTAGCCTACTGGACTCTGACCTTTCAATGTATTCACAAGTCAATGCTACTGTCAAGTCCTGCTTTTTCCAACTCCGCCGCATCCCTCTTCTTAAGTCAATCCTCAAACGCCCGGATCTTGAGTCAGTCATTCATGCTTTAATTACTTCACGTCTGGATTACGCAAATTCTGTTCTGATTAGGATTAATGCTTCAGCCCTAAGCAAACTGCAGAAGGTTCAAAATGCCGTGGCCAGATTTTTAACCAACACCGACAGACGCATGCACATCACACCCATCCTCGCAGATTTACACTGGCTCCCAGTCAAATTTAGGATTAACTTCAAGGTCTTGTTATATGTTTACAAGGCTTTGTACTGCCCATCCCCATCCTATCTGACAGACCTGCTGACCCCATATGTTCCCACCCGTGCCCTTTGGTCAGCAGATCATCTGCTGCTTGTTGTTCCGAAGGTTTGGTCCAAATCACAGGGGGAGGGTGCCTTCTCTTATGCAGCTCCAAACTCTGGAACTCTCTGCCCCTCCGTGTGCGTCTGGCTCCCTCTGTTAGCAGTTTCAAGTTGGCCTTGAAAACACACTTCTTTAGTATTGTCTTCCCTCTGTGACATTTTTCATGAAAATCTAGCACCGGATTTGAGTTTTTAATTTAGTTTTTGTGTTTCAGTTGCACCCTTTTGGCACCTCACACCATCTGGTATTTTATTTCGTTTTATTTGTGCCATTTCAAATGTTTTTATCATTCGTCGCATTATTTTATTTTTTATAGTGCTGTTAACTGTTCTTCTATTTTATTGTTTTAAGTAGGGATTTTTTATCTCTGACTATTTATGCTTTGTTCTTATGTATTTTGCCTGTTCTTATTGAGTCTCTTGATCAAGCATTTGGCTTTTTTTATGTACAGCCTTTTGGTTAGCTGCCATGCTATTTTGAAAAGGTGCTTTATAAATAAATATGGTATGGTAAGGTCTTCCGGCTCAGCTCTCTCTTCACCATGACAAACCGGTACAATGCCTGCATCTGCACCATGACAGACCGGTACAACGCCTACGTCTGCACCTTGACAGACCGGTACAATGCCTGCGTCCCTGCAGACGCAGCACCAATCCGCTCTTTGATCTCATGTTCAATCTTTCCCTCACTTGTGAACAAGACCCCAAGATACTTAAACCAGGACCTCATCCCTGACGTGGAAAAGGCATTCTACCCTTTTCTGACTCAAGACCATGGTCTTGGATTTAGAGGAGCTTTTTCTCATCCCAGCTGCTTCACACTAAGCTACGGACCGCTCCAGCAAAAGCTGGAGATCACGTTCTGATAAAGTCAACAGGACCACATCATCAGCAAAAAGCAGACCCGATCCTCAGGCCACCAAAAAAGATCCCCTCAACACCTTGGCTGTGCCTAGAAATCCTGTCCATATAAGTTATGAAAAAGTACTTTTTATTCATTCATTATTTTATTATCCATCCATCTTTCTGATTTGACACCTTTTAGTTATGCTTTCATAAGCAAAGAACATGAATCTAATTTGTGAGTTTCTGATTGGCCGATCACCAATTAAGCAAATTATCCTCAATATTTACTGATTCTTATCAGCAGATCACCTTTTGGTGCATCTCTAAGTAAATCTAACGTCCAACAGCACTGAGCTGCTGACTGAAAAACTATCTGTTCAGCTCAGATGAGTAAAATGATTATTATTAGCTTCTTCCTCTCATCCTATATTAGTAATGTGGAAGTAACTTCACATAGAAAAGGATGTAACATACTCAGCATCACATGTATCAATTAATATAAATCTTATACGGTGTAAAAATATGTTTCTACCACCTGAAGCTGCTTGCCCATGCAACAGACATGTGTGGCAAGAATGAAGTACATCGTGGAAGTCCACTGCTGTCACTGGCTGTGATGATGTCATAGATGGCACGAGGGAGGAGTACAGAGGGTGGACGGCTCAATCCTCGCGCCCATGAGCAATGCGGATGAGGAGAGGAGGCTTGTGGAGAGGAGGAAGCAGAGGATGCAGATTTGGAACGAGTTTGTGCTTGGGTAGGAAGCTGCTGCTGGGAAGCTGGTTGAGGGTGAGATTGAGAACTTGTTTGTGATAATAGCTGACTTTGGGGCTGCGGTTTGACCTGGGGGTCACTTTGAGCTTGAGGTTGATTTTGGTGGTGAGGTGTAGTTTGAAGATTTGAAAACAACTGGGATGAGGGCTGAGGCTGATCATGATTCTGTGGCTTTGGTGGAGGCTGTCTGGCATCCAAGTTTCCTTTCTGGCCATTCTGAGAGTTGGTACTTGGAGCAGCAAGGGGGTCAGCAGCTCTACTGTCAGGACACGCCTGGGGAGGTTGAGTGGAGAATGGAGGAGAGTTTCCTGGAAAAACCCACAGGATGTGTCTAAAATAAAAAAGCTTTAATAAATACGTATAAATCCATGTTAGGTTTTACTCTACCATTGTCATGTCCCTCCTCCTCCTCATTGTCAGTGCTGCTGAGTTTTTCAGCATCACTTTCAACCACTTCACTTCCTGATCCAGGATTATGTGGTGGTCTCGTCTCTGCCTTGACTAGATAAGCAGCCAATCCCAGCTCCTGTTCCAGGGTCGTACGCTGCAGGTAGGAGCAGCTTATCACCCGATGATCACAATACTTTAGAGACCTTTAAAAAAAATACGTATCACAGTTTTTCATTAAAATGTTTGAGAAAATATTTTGTCTTTTTCTCAAGAACACACGAACGAACCTGGGCAATGATTCTCCAAGTGGGTCGGCTCCAGACAGAATCAGGATGCAAGGGAGGGCCTCCAGCTCCAAGTATGTAAGTGGGACCCAATTAGAATCCTGGATCTTCAGCCATTTCTGAGGAACAAAGACACAAAAGCAAAATCACTATTTTCTCAGTAAATTATTTTTTCCCTAAATTTAGAGACATTATCCATCCATCCATCTTCTGAACCCGCTTGTCCACGCGGGGGGGGGGGGGGGGGGTGTCTATCTCCAGCAGTCAACGGGCAACTAGGCGGGGTACACCCTGGACAGAGAGCCAGTCCATCGTAGGGCAACACAGAGACACACAGGACAAACAACCATGCACACACACACACACTCACACCTAAGGACAATTTAGACAGACCAATCAGCCTAACAGTCATGTTTTTGGACTGTGGGAGGAAGCCGGAGTACCCGGAGAGAACCCACGCATGCACAGGGAGAACATGCAAACTCCATGCAGAAAGATCCCAGGCCGGGAATCGAACCCAGGACCTTCTCATTGCAAGGCAACAGCTCTAACCACTGCGTCACTGCGCAGCCCCTTAAGGTTGGTTTATGCTTGACGCGTCCGCGAGGTACGCACGGCCACGCGGACGGTTGGACGCGGAAAAACATGGCGGACCGGCAAGAACTAGTATGGCAGAAGTCTGTAAATACAGACATTTGTATGATTCAGCTCTCAAAGATCGCCGTGATCAACAAGTTGTTAATAATTCTTGGAGAGAAACAGCTCGCACTTCAGAAAAGACGAGGACGCTGTTAAAAATGCTGCAATGCCATGTTGTAAACAGTAATTTCTACTTCTACTATGGTGTAGTGTTGGATGCATGCCGTAGAGCTCCATGCTGCCCCGTTCAGTTTGGGAGAATATAGGCTCACCGCAGAGACAAGCCGCATGAACCATAAACGCTGCGAGTTGTGAAGCGCGTTCCAGCCGCGAGCCGCATCGCCAAGTGGAAAGTGAATGCGTCAAGCATAAACCAAGCTTTAGAGACATTATTTCAATTCAACTTAAGTTGAACATTATCAGTGAACTGATGAACTGAGCAACCCACATACTAAGCCAGCATGTAGTGACAGTGGAGAGGAAAACTCCCTTTTAACAGGAAGAAGAAACCTCCAGAGGATCCTGGCTCAGTATAATCTGTCTCCACTCACTAGGGGTTTGAGAAGACAGAGCAGATACACACACACACACACACACACACACACACACACACACACACACACACACACACACACACACACGCACGTACGCACGCACGCACGCACGCACGCACGCACGCACACACACACACTCAACAATCACTACTAACCTACCTTGATCTGATCAGTGAAAGTCTGTCCAATAGTCAGAGCTTGGCTGGGACTCCCCAGAATGATCTCAAAACTCCCCTCCAGCCCCAGCTGCTTCCTGACTCTGGACAGCCGTCGGTGAGCCCAAGCTGCTAAAGCCAGAGAAGGAATCCGCAAGAGAATCATGTGACCGTGGTGGGAAGGACACTGCTGGGCAGGAGTTAGCAGGGACTGTACAACCTCCATGGTCTCAACAGAGGTGTGTTTGTGTAGACTGGGACAGCTGCTGATTTTTCCAGATGCAGCCATCAGAGCTATACAGTAGTGTTGGATCAGGACCGTTGTCCGGATCACAGAACTGTGCAGCTTTGGAAACCTGAAAACAAAAATTAGAACGACTGAGTAGAGTTCCAGCTGCATTTATGGTATAGTTTAAAATTTTTGGATGGTTTTTAGATCATCACGACTACTCTAGGTTGGTGCAGCACCTCTCTTCAAGGGTAGATGCCATGCTTTCAAAAGAGGAATCATAACGCATCAGTGGCAGGCTGCTTCCAGAGCGAGTCATCTCCAAGAGCTCTGACAAACCGAAGTGCCGAGTCCTCTCGTGATACAGGTCCACATCCTGCACACAGAAGCACTCAAGTTCAGACACCTGAGTCTGCAGATACAGATCAACGTTTGCACGCCGCTATAAAAGATGTTTATCACAACTCAGAGCTCAGACTTACGTTACTGAACGCAGACGGCCAGTGTATCTCATTGTAGGGGCTGATTCGAGTGCGCTGAGTCTGAAGGGCGAAGGGGAACGAGGTGACATGTAGAATCAAGATGTTTGTGGCTTCTATCACCTGCTGTGAGTTTAACAGTTTATCAACCAGACCCACACCACTGTCTGCACTGCAGTAGGATGAGCTGAGAGGAAGGAAACAGAGCCACAGAGGCAAAGTCAATATGTTTGTTGATTATGGTGAAAAGACAAATAAAACAACAACAATTGTTAAACCTGCAAACATCCCAGTGGGCATGATCATGAACCAGGATGTGGAGAGTGTAGGAATTGCTCTGCGCTTCCTGGATGAGTTTGTCAACCCGTGCCCGAGCACTCTGGTCCATCTTAACCACGTAACGCTCAGCGTCCTGATGAGACGTGCAGTCCTGGTCCGTACTCCCAAGGTCCTGAAGGACACCTGATAAACACAAAGGCATAAAGAGTGGTTAACGTTAAAACAGATCAAGTAGTGAAGATACATCTTAATTCTAAAGAAGTTGCGCAGAATAGGGATAGACCAATAATGAACTGATATTTAGCAATTTTTTATATATTGCATCGGCCAATATTCCTCCTTTAAAGAGCACATTTAAAGGTTGAATATGTAAGAATTCTACAGTAATCAAAAAACAGTCAGGTTCTGGTTCTAATGTCTCAATCATGTTGGAAGGAAAGTTACCAGCCAGCTAAGTGCCCTAGTGGTAGAGTGTCCGCCCTGAGACTGGGAAATCAGGGTTCAAATCCTGGTTGGGTCATACCAAAATCTTTGAAAAAATGGGACCCAATACCTCCCTGACACTCAGCATTACAGGGCTGGATTGGGGGTTTGTGGGCTGATCATGACCTTTACATATCAATATCGACAATAGAAAAACCCATTTTGGTCGGTTTATAGAAGTAAGTACAGTAACAGGTAGAACTTCATGATTCATGTCACCAACCAGAGTTCCAGAGTTGGAAAACAGTCTGTTGAAACGTGACCTCCGAGGGTGGGACCAGGATGAGGAAGTTGACCCTGTTAAAGGAGCCAAGGTCAAGGTTCTGTGTGCTGGAATCTGCTATGGCACAAACGTGGGAAAGCAGCTTTTTGGCTACTGCCAGCTGGATGGGACGGACCTCGCGCCATTCTACCCTATATTCTGAAAATAAACATTCCCACGTTTAGATTCTGAAAATAAGTCTGAGAGAATTCAGACACTGATTTTCTTCTTACCTGAACAAGAGTCTTTGGGGCTTGAGGTGGTGACTTTAGGGCTGGATGTGTCCTTTGGACTGTGCGTTTCTTTCTGGTTCTGTGAAGTCGTAACATTCCTGTCCTCAGCTAAGTCCTGACTGCTGGACGAGGGAGATGGCTCGCTGTTGTCCACACTGAAACTATCCAGGAGGGTGTCCATATTACCATCTGAGAACCAGAAAACCACACTTGTGTTAGTTAAATCTGACTAAAACGCACATTAGCAGTCCACATGCTGTCATGCATACCTTGGCCGAGAGAACTGCAGTAATGGACGAGCTCCCGTGCAGCTCCTGAGTAAATCTGGTGGCTGATTTCTTTCAGTCCCTCACTGGGAGAAAACATGCTTTCCGATAAAGCACGGCACTGGTGTTTACCTGCGGCACGGCGCACAGATGAATCGCATCAGAATCGGTCTCAGACCTCAAACATCACTGCAGACTCGCTGTGACCTCCCACCTGTTACCACCACACATGACTGTGTCTCCTGTCCTGGTGAAGTGACGATAATGACGACATAGTTTGTGTTTTCAAGCCTTCCTTCCATCAGCCTGCTAAACACTTGCTGAAGGCCTTGAGCCAACGACTTGACTTCTTCCCCCATCACTACCACTCTCTCCCCAGAGGATGATGCAGCGAGCTGGGCGAGCCAAGGGAGCTGACTGGGGGTCGGGGGTTGTTGGTTAGGAGGTAAAGTGAGATGCTGGGGGAGCCCGGGTAAAACAGAAGGGACCTGGAAACATTCAAAAATACTGATGAATTCTTGAGTTTTGGGATAGATTTTTTTTTCTTGTCTCATCTGACCTCTATGCCATAGAGCCTCCCTTGAGTTGCTGCTGTTTGAGACTGCTGAAACTGTCTGATCTCACTGAGGTGGGATTCCCTCCATGACCTCATTAAAATCTGCTCCAAGTCCTCAATCAGGGGCACCTGCTCAGGGCCTGCAGGGCAAAAATAAAACACATTTCCTCATTGATTTGATACACACCACAGCAGTTTAAGAGAACGCGTCTGGAATGTATCAAGATGAGAGTCAAAGTAAAGGATAAAATTTGTTAAATTAAACCCAGCACACTAGTTTTACAGGAGCACATTTTTGCACTGACCCAGCTGAACCAGGTAGTAAACTGTAAGCAGAATCTGCATCTCAGTGGAGAGAGGCTGAACGGGTGATGGTCCATAATGCTGGTAGACTCTGGGAAGAGCCTGTGAGCTCAGGTAACAACTCTGGAGCAGAGAACTGACGAGAACATCATTGATGTTGCCAGTCAGCTGACAAAGCGGGCCGTGACCTGTGTGGATAATAAACAGTGGTTAAAAATACAGAGGTGGAGTTAGAAAAGATCAGGTCATAAAAATACTGAAACAACAACCTCAATCTAGCTTATTGAGATGAGAAAAAGCTTCTTCAGTCAGGGTTTAGGGAAGCCCGGTGTAAGACTTTATAAAACCTTTTTTAAGGCCACTGATAAAATTAAAGAGCTTACTTGGAATAGAAAAGAGGTGTGAAGATAATTGCTCAGCAGGGGATGCAGTACCACTAAATCTACACCACCATGGCTCACGTGCCCACTAGCTAAAGCTGCTAATTTACATACATGAAAGAAGCACACACACACACACACACACACACGCACACACACACCCGCACGCACACACCCGCACGCACACACACACACACACACACACACACACACACACACACACACACACACACACACACACACACACACACACACACACACACACACACACACACACACACACACACACACACACAGGTGGTTTCTCTTTACATGGTCTTATCCTAAAGCAGATTCCCAAATAAAATAAAGCACTCTTGTGTTTTTGGGTCTGATGCATTTTTAAGACTTTTGGACTTTTTGAAGACTCTGGATTTAAAGATTGTTGTAATTTTTAAGGATTTTTAAGGTCTTAATTATGGAAAATCTAAACTTTTAAGGTTTTTGAAGACCTTTTGTAGACCAGCAAAAACACAGTTTAATTACTGAATAAAACTATTAAAATTTGAACCATAACAACTGGGAAACAGTTTGCATGTCATAAAAAACAAGAGAAAAAAATAAGATGTCTATGTGAAAAGAAAAAAAATGCAGACATTTAAAATAAAATTGATGACATCAGATATTAAAGGAGATAAATTGTTGTGGTAAAATTAATAAAACGTGAAGTCACAGGAACGCCCCTAACAATCTGCTGGCTCATGATTTCAGCTCAAAAACATCCTTTTCCTTATTAGCTTGACTCTGTCACAGCTGCAATACTAAAAGGAAAACAAGTAAATGATAGTCTAACCTTTAAATACGACAGGTTGCAGTTTGCAGGTGTGCAGCAGCCGATCAGGCACTGTTACGGACAGTTCTGGGAGAGAAAGTGGGATTGAGGACCCCCGCGTTGAACTCTGCAGGAATGCAGTTTCTTAACAAGTAGATGAGAACGGAAAAGCATTTATTTATGTAGACAATCTTATTTTATGTGTGTTTCTGGTCCTGTTCGTACCTGGTCTGGCTCCGGTGGTGATGTGAGAAGACACTGATGGTGTTGCTAGGGCTGATGACGATGGAGGAGACTTTACCATGCTCTCCGTCACACTGCTGGCTGCTGATTCAGGAGACCAGCCTTTGTGTCTCTTTTTAGGGGGAGCAGCATTTGCATGAGGCCCTATCAGATACAAAATACAAATATATTTAGATCCTGACTGGATTTGCAGAAGTCGCTGCTGCTGTTTTCAAACTTATTTAATGTGAAGTCCAAGAATCACCGGAGTCCCTTTTCTCATCCAAATCCCCAACAGATCAACACTAAAATGGGTGTTAGGGAGTTTTGAAGATACTGTGATGCAAAAGAGTTGTATTTTAGTCATGCAGTCATCTCTTCACAAGTATCTGTTAGAATACAGTAATGATGGAGACCCATAAAAGGTCTACTTGTTAAATGGGTAATGAAAAAACCACACCACTGACAGGAAGGAAGCATCTCATTCAAAGAAACAGAAAGAAGAAAAAAGAGCGAGGCGAGACGGGGAGGACATTTTACAGCCCTGGTTTGGTTTATAGAGGAGGCAGACTGAGAGAGCGGGGAGGGGAGGGAGAAGGACGGAGAGGAAGACAGAAGAGAAAAGAGATGTGGAAGTTTACAGCTGGAAGTGTCGGCATGAAGGCCAGGAAAACAAAGCCCACCCCCACCCCCACACACACAATGTGGCTGGGACTGGTGTTACAAAGCACACACACACACACACACACACACACACACACACACACACACACACACACACACACACACACACACACACACACACACACACACACACACACACACACACACACACACAACCACACACACACACACAAGCCACCAGTTAAAGAGAAAGTAAAGTGATCAAATTCTAATAAACATAAAATAAAAATAGGGATTGTGATCACGACGCCATCACCGACGCAGCCGCCCTGTTGGAGGCGTGTGAGTCCTTACTTGTTACTAGTGTAAACAGCGAGCTCAGTCTCGTTCTTGCAGCTTAAATTAATCAATTGTTCATTTGATTGGATAGATTACACAACTCTAGTAAATCTTTGCTGTGTTGTGGGGTGACACGTGATTGCCGGGGGAATAAAGGTGGTAAACAAGCTAACTTGCTTGGAGGCAAAACCCCGGAGACCAAGTATCTAGGAATATGTCATTGCTGCTCTGGTCTTGGGTCTTTTATATGGATCAAAAACATTTTTAACCCTTTGATGCATAATGGTCACTACAGTGGACAGGTACTCAAAATTGTTATTTATTTATTTTTGCTATTAAGCACAGCTGTTGAAGACTTTACTGCATTTAAGCCCCTTCATTTGGACTTCAGTAAGCCAAGCCAACATATTTCATGTTCAGAATGCACGCTGTCCACTGAGGTGGACATGTAATAAACTATGTGTAAATTAAATGTTACAAAAAATATGTAAATATGAAATTTGTTTCATTCACACCTAAAGATGAATGAAAAAAAATGTTTAAAAAATCATGGTTGAAGATTTCATAATTCATGCATCAAAGGGTTAATGCAGATTTTGTCCACATACCGGTCCTCATCGTCTTTATATAACATATCCCTGTGCATTTCGCATCCTTTTTGAGATTTTCTATTGTTGTTTAACACTTTCTTTCACCCAAATCTGCTTCTTCTCTACTTCATGGTTTGTTTACACTCGTCAAGCTCCCAACATATCCCAGAATGCTATATGTAATCACGTGTGATCACAAGCCCTATAGCCTAAAATTTGATGTTCCATTTTGCATGCAGCTATTTTCTTTTCTTTACTGAGACTTTACTTGCTACCCTAATTTTTGCTTGTGAGTTTACTTTCCAAAGGAAAAGGACAGCAGTAGCTCAGGAGGTGGAGCGGGCTGTCCAGTAATCGGAGGGCTGTGGGATAGATCCTGGCTCCCGGCAAAGAATGCTGCTGTTGTGTCTTCGGGCAAGACACTTAACCTGCCTTGCCTGAGGTGGTCAGAGGGACTGATAGCGCCGGTGTTCGGCAGCTCGCCTCTGTATGTGAGCCCCAGGGCAGCTGTGGCTACATTGTAGCTCATCACCACCATCGTGTGAATGTGTGTGTGAAAGGATGAATTATACACTGTAGTGTAGAGAGCTTTGGAGTCCTCTGACTCTAAAAGGCGATATACAAGTGCGGGCCATTTGTCATTATTCTTACTTCTACCCTAAATATTCGTCTACTTATAAGTTAAAGTTAAAGTCCCATTAGTTGTCACACACACTGATGTGTGTGCGAAATTTGTTCTCCGCATTTGACCCATCCCCTGGGGGAGCGGTGAGCTGCAGACACAGCCGCGCTCGGGAACCATTTGGTGGTTTAACCCCCCAATCCAACCCCTTAATGCTGAGTGTCAAGCAGGGAGGCATTGGGTCCCATTTTTTTTCAGTCTTTGGTATGACCCGACCAGGAAACGAACCCTGATCTCCCAGTCTCAGGGCGGACACTCTACCACAAAGACAAGAACTGGATTGCTACAAATTTCTTAAAGACCAAGTTCACTCATTCTTTCAACACATTTGTAGTGGTCTCTAGTATAAATGAATGCATTGTGAGTCGATCTCTGTGGGGAAAAAAAGCTCTGGCGCCCCTGTTTCAGGAATTAGAAGTTAGCCAGAGGAGTAGGAAGCAGGAGACATCAGGATTTGAAGTCTTATTTCCTGATATTCTGACATCTCACCTCTTATTGGCTAACAGCAACGCGACTCTAGCACTGATTCTGTTTGCTTTGCTATATTGATGTTTTATCTCCACAGATAACACGAGCGGGAAGGAGTTCTGCTGTGTGGTGGAGTTGCTAATGCTAATGGTTAGCTTCTACTAGCTGAGACACGCTCTGCTCTCTCCTACACACTAAATCAACAACATCCTTTCCCGTCACGAGCCAAGATGGGTGAGTCAATGAATACTAATTTGACAATGTGACAGGACATCTGGCTTTTCTAATCCGAGAGTTTTCTCATCTATTTTCTATCGGCGGCTGATGCAGTAAGCAGAAATAGAAGCCTGTTTTCACGTTTAGCCTGTATGCTAACTTGGTCCGTAACGTGTAAATAACAGTCCTATAAGGTTCGATCCCTTTGATTTGGACTTTAAGTTCAGATAAAGAGTGGAAACATTTCAGCTAAAAGCCAACTCAAACATAAACACTGATGATGTTCAGCTGAGTTAAATAACTAAAACATCACCTGCATAGATGTAAATAAAATAAAGTACCCATCTGTCACATAATGTTATATTAGTACCCTTCTTCATCGGAAAGATATGATGTATTAAATATAGGCAGACTTTTTTACCTGTGGCTGAGGGTCTCCCAGGTCCTGACTGGTTTAAAGATGGCCGAGAAATGGAGGGAACAGCATGGCTGCCGTTTATCACCATGTGGGGGATGTCGGCTGCTTGAGGCTCCACATGTGATCCTTAAAAATGACCAGACAAGAAGCTAAAGGTTTAGTAGAAGCATAAATGATTGTGTATCTTTATGGGTATTAATCCATATTCTCCTCCCCAGCGCTTAAAAAAATGATTACCTCCCCTTCTTTAAACTTAACTTCTTTTCATTTTAAGATTTAACCACATTTTTTCTTCAAGGCAAAACTAAACACCAAGACAGCAGAACAAGTTTCTGAAAGAACTCATACGTTTCAGGTTCAGTAAGATTATTGTTAGTTGAACCTGGGTAGCTGCTCGGTGTGTGTGATGGGTGAGCCACTGCGGGGTTTGGTGGCTGTTCTTCTGATGTCAGCTGACCTTCCACCAGGCTGGACCTTATCTGTCTCATCCTGCCATCTGAGAGACACAACAAACGTGTCATCCATAAACTCTCTGAAGAACTAAAGAAATATTCAGACGAGATCAAAAAGATGAGTCGCTGAACAAACATGGCAGCAAATCATCAAAGTCGATTGTCCTTTAGAGAAAGTTGCTGCAAGCTCTGCGTCATCCTCTTATCTGCTGAGGTGTTTTCTGCTTCCTGCTCACTTGTCAATGTACTGGATACAATTTGGGAATGAGTTGGACACAAAAGCAGTGACTAAAGAGGCTTGTCAGCTTTACCTTAACCCCATGGTTTCCAGACCAACATATAAATCTCACCTCCTTCATATTTTAAATCATGATAGCAAACCTCTGGCAATACGTCTCCTGCTGCTGAGTCCAAGTCTGAATAGCGACTGTGGAAAAAGTCCAAACTAAATGGTTTTGGAATACTCAGACTCCCAGTAGCAGAGATGGAAAACAGGAAACGACTGGTACGGAAAGAATTTCAGAATGATTACGTGTGTTTCATCTGCAGCACTGACAACGTCCGTCCATCTTTTTCTTATTTAACACCACAGCAAACATTTGGAACAAGATGATGTTTTGTTCTTGTGACCTATGACTCAAAAATGACCTACGAGCACCGGGTTCATCTCAATTTGGTTTGGAGTTCACAGTAAGCTCAACAGCAGACTATCTTACATTTGCTATCTCAAACCACAGGGTTAATACAGAAAATCTAAACAGAGACAACCGGGTACAAATATATCTCATTAAGACAACACATTATCTGGAGAGGTAAAGTCCATTAGCGCAGCTCTTTTCACCGAGTGAACCTGTGACCTCCAGGTTGTGGCCCCTGTGTAAACTCTGCATTCTCACCTTTCAACCCTTCGTGAGGTGATACTACTAAGTTAGACCTTTAGGCTTTTTGTAGAAAAAAAAAGACAACATTCCTGTCATCCTACTCTGGTCTGTTGGGTAAAAATTGCATTAAAAAAAGATTATTTGAGTTTTATCAGTGTGAAAAAAAATCTTTTAGTACAGATTTATTTCGTATTTTTAAAAATTTTGTTTTACAAGTGAAAAATTAGAATGTGGTGCAAGAATCCATTTAATCTTAGACTGAGAGACCATCTAAAGCTGATTAGAATGGGACACTTTGAGTTTAGAATATTGAACCTTTTCACAATATTCTAACTGTCTGAGATTCTGAATTGAGGGTTTTTATAAGCTGTAAGCCATAATCGTCACAGTCATAACAAATAAAGGCTTGAAAAATCAGGCTTTGTGTGTAATGAGTCTGTCTTGTGTTTTAGTTTCACCTTTTAAATAGAATTACAGAAAATAAACAAATGTTTGCACCATATTCAAATTTGTTTTGTTCGAATTGTAAAAGCAGGTGTAGGATTCTGTACCTGATCAATCTAAAATTGAATGCAGACAAACTACACCATCATGGCCCTCTAAGGCTGCCAACTGCCTTTTTCCTGTTTCCCTGCACCTAGACACCTGTTGGTGATTAGCATGCATCTGATGATCTTAAGGAGCTGTTACCTGTAAAGGTAACTAAATCACGGGATTAGCCCTGAACTAGACAGTTTGCTTTGGAGCTGACAACGTTCCAGGGAAAGCAGCAGTTTTATCCCTCACCGTTTCCCCTCCAGCAGATGGGAGCGCCTCTAACCAGGACTCCCTGGTTGTTTTGGTACAGGTGATACTTTAGGTGCTTCTGCTTTTTAGGCTGGGTGCTGAGCTTCAGGTTGATGTGGTTGGAGAACTCTGTGAAATATCGGAAACCTTTCTCTCCGCAGCCCATACAGTTTCCTGAAAAGCCTGGAAAGATGCAGAGAAAGTGGATGCTCGTCAGAGTTGTGTGCCTCTCAAACACCACAACTATACTGAGGTGCAAATGGACAAACACTTTTGCAGAAAGAAAAGTTGACTTTTTCACATTAAAGACAAATATTTTCTGTGTTAGTCTCCCGCCTCACCAAGCAAAGCATTACGATCCCGGTCATCTGGCAGGAAGCGACGGTCTACAGCACACACCAGGAGGTTCTCAGGCAGGGTGGGGGACTTCACACCAACTAACATGAATCCAGGAGGAACGTCCAGGGGCTCGGATGCAAGCGTGGACAAACGCACATCCTTCCCAGCCTGACAAAACCCTGAATTTCACAGAACGATTTCATAAAGAATTTGAAAGCTGAAACTTTCACATTTGGATGCATTTTGCTATCAACAGATGTATTCATGCCATCTGTGGTGCAGCATCCATCAGGCGGTGGCTTCATCTGGTAGGGTATCGGAGGGCTGTTGGATTCTGAGCAGTCATCATCGTCCTCATCATCATTCAGTGTACGGCCTGTTGGAGAGGAATTTGAGAGCACAACGTTTTGACCTGGATTCAAAAGAAATCCGAGATAATCATCGTTTCAAAATCCTTAAGCCCACCGTCTTGTGTCAGAGACTGTTCTGTCTCCAGATACAGCTGTGTGAAGACTGGTCGAGGCACGATGGTGTTTGACCTCAGTGATGCCTCTATGGAGTTATGCAGAACCTCCTCGAAGCGCGTGGTCCGCAGCTGGCCCGCGTACGAGTTCCCCATTGGTGTCCTATGAAAATAGTAATCATAAGGCACATTTTTAGTTTCAGTCCTTTTGTGAATAAATGAAAATGTGCTGTAGTGCTAAAAGAAACAGTAAACAGAGAAACAGAACGTTTTTTCCATTATGATTTAACACTGCAGGAACATTAGAAACTTAAAATAAAAAGGAAAAAATGACAAAAACACTGCTAATATAGAGAGATTTGGGGCAAAAGACAACACAAAAAAGCAAAAACAAGAAAACTATAAATAATTATGTATCAAAAACTAAGAAATTATTCTGTCTCCTGCATTTTGAAATCTTCTGGCTTGAAGATTTAATGTGTTACAGACTCTCTCTCTCTCTCTCTCTCTCTCTCTCTCTCTCTCTCTCTCTCTCTCTCTCTCTCTCTCTCTCTCTCTCTCTCACACACACACACACACACACACACACACACACACACACACACACACACACACAAACACACACACACACACACACACACACACACACACACACACACACACACACACACACACACACACACACACACACACACACACACACACACACACACACACACACACACACACACACACACACTTTGTGCAAAAACAAAGTGGAATTCAGGAGCACTTCTCACACACACACTCCAGCTGTGGCTAGTGCAGTGTGGCACTTGTCCAACCAACGCAACATAAAATCAGCTGCACTGACAGAGTCAGGGCACTCTGACCTGGACTCAGCTCCCTCCCCCTGTTATTCTAGTTTTCCTTCAAGTGCTTCTCTCCAAGTTTGCTTCTCTCCCTTGTCTGGTTCCTGGCTGCTGTTAAACGGGTCAAAACAAAACGTAACAAAAACAAAGGTTTTCTAGAGGGACGATACACCCAATAACCTCTAGAGCAAACAAATTAGTTCAGAAAGCAAACAAAAACAAGAGATAGATGACTGTAAACAACATCAACACACACACACACACACACACACACACACACACACACACACACACACACACACAATAAACCATGCATAACGGACTAAAAAAGCCTGGTAGCAAGACGCTGAGCAGGAAGTGACTCGAAGGTTAGGTTGATGAAACAGTCTTTATGCAGATTAACCCTAACAGACAACGATTTATTAAGTGTTTCTGTTTTCATTATGATCCTGTGTGATGCACAATCTATCTGTATCAACATCGATATCGGTCTATGTTAGGCATTATTTAACATATCTGTCCCATAAGTAAAGCTGCGCTGATACTAACAACAGACGTCTTTTTCCATTGTTTTGCTCTTTGTTTATCTGTTTCAGAGGGCGAGAGGGTGATAAGGCGTAATTGTTTAGTCATGTGACAGTGACTGTAAACATCTCAGAAGCAAAAATGTGTGTGGTGTTTACTTAGCCAGTGTGAGTCTTTGAGGTGAGCAGAGTAAATCAACTAAAATGCTGCTTGAAATGACCAAATTCAAAGATCCTTAGAGCCACACACTGTTCTTGCAGAATATAATAAAACTAAAATATAAAAATAATGAAATCTGCTTTAGCTGGCTTGATAAATCACTGCTGACACCACCGAGAGTTGAATCCATGCCAGCACATGGCAAAATGAGACAAAAGGAAGACACTTAAACCACTAGACTGGCAAGGCCAATACAACAGCACATTGGAACCGTTTCAGTTCTGGTTATCAAATCATCAGGCTGATAAAAATAACTCATAATTAAGATAAATGAAATCTCAATTATGCCATTGGTAATATCTCATCATATACTGTCCCTACCTTTGCTCTCAAAGGTATAAAATGGGATTATATGGAACCTTTAATGTAATATTATTGTAGCACGATTTAAGTTCAACTATACTTGGCTGTGTAGAAGCCTAATTGTATGATTTTGGTTTTAACTGTTGTACAGTGTTTGTTCGAAATAAACTTTTGATTAGAATATATATATATATATATTTAGAATATATATATATATATATATATATATATATATATATATATATATATATATATATATATATATATATATATATATGTATAGGTAAATATCGGTTATCGAAAGCAATAGCGATATAATAATAATCATCATCATCAAACTTATATAGTGCTTGTTTAGGACACTCAAAGACGCTTTCATGCACTCTCACATTCACACACTTTTGGTGATGGTAAGCTACTTTGTAGTCATGGGCACCCTGGGGCGATCTGACAGAGGCGAGGCTGCCATTTGGTGCCGTCAGCCCCTCTGACCACCACCAACACAGGGAAGTTGGGTGAAGTGTCTTGCCCAAGGACACAACAGCAGAGTACCCCTGGCGGGAGCTGGAATTGAACCAATGACCCTCCGATCATGAGACAACCTGCTCTACCACCTGAGCTACTGCTGCCCCATCGATATTAACATCGGATACATTTTTACATTGGTGCATCCCTGGTTATTGCATATTTCAACTAGCAAAAGACGGCGTAGCAAGTGTTAAACCATATTTAAACAATTAGATCATGTGATTTTTAAAATAGTGTGATTTTGTGATGTAAATGGTTTGATGTCACCACAAAGTTACACTGTCAATACGCACAACACAAAATGTAAAAGATGAGAAAGGCTAATTAGTTTCACTGATAAGTATTGGTATCTGACAGCTGCAAATGCAGGTAAAATCTCCTTTAATATTATCTTTTGCTTTAACATCATTAATATGATCTAATTTTTTGCTCAGCTCTGACATGCTGATGCAGAATTTGCGTGATTTAATTCTTTTTAAACATCAATAACAACAACAACAACAAAAATTGTGATTTCACCTGGCATTTCTGCATCACTATACAGTAGTTTAAATAACCACTAAACAATGGTGTGGTCACAGACTGGGAGAAAAATCAGATATGGGTGATTCTCTGAATTTTGTGCTCTTTCGGTGCCCACAAAATACATTTTAAACCAAAAAATTGAAAGATCTTTGCATTAGACACACAAACATATTTTAGAAACTGTTTTTAAACGTTTTATGACTTGGTTATCTACATGTTTTTGTCGGTTTTTAAATGGTTTTATTTTTTATGTTCATTTCTGCTGTGCAGCGCTTTGTTTGGTCCTTGGGCCATGTGAAGGCGTTATATAAATAAATAAAGTTTAGCAGTAGTAGTAGTTGGTTTACTTTTCAGTAACTAAAAACCCCAGAGTGCATCGAATTTAGAGAATCACACGTTTATTTTGGCAATATAATTTTGTGAATCACCCCGGTGATGTATACACTGTACAACCAAGCTGCAAATGAATAAATAAAATCAACAGATAACATGTCAGTTAAAAAGGTGATGATAACTAATACTAAACTGTTATAGTCTGACAGCTGCCAGTAGGAATGATTGCGGTAGCGCTCCTTCCTACACTGAGTATAGGAGTCCACTGTTGAACACGAATACGGCATTCACGGACAACCCCCTAAAAAATTATTCTTTTTAGATTAAACTAAAATCAAATTTACGTAAAATGCACACATTTTCTATTTTGCATTTACAGACAGAGAATTCATCTCAACACGATCAGAAAGTAGCACCAGCTCCAGATGCAGCCGGTCAGGTTCAGTTATTCTTGGCTCTCAGCTAAATGCTGCTCCTCACCTTCTGCCTCCACCCTTTCATATGTAAAAAAGCAGCGCAGACTTTTAGGGCCTAGCACCACCTTGCAGAGAGACAAAGGGTGATGGGAGACAAAAAGCCCCGTCATAACACAATCAGCGCTGACGGGAAGCAATCACACCTTCTACCAAACAGCATGCAGAACTTTTTTTTTCTTTTTTCACAGCCAGAAACAACTCAGACGGAGAAGGGAAAAGGAAAAGTGCTCTCCACTTGTTCTTATTTTAATCATCAGTTATTGCATGTTGAAAAATGTATTTCCTTCAAATATCCAAGAGATTAATTAATTACAACGAAACACCAATATAACAGATGATATACCATCTAGTTATCAACACACAAATAAGTCATACTGAACTCATTTTTCCGCGTCTGACATCTTTTTTTCTGAGGTAATGTTAAACCCAAAGGTGTTGCTGATAAAACCCAGAAGACCAGCCAGGCACCAAAGGACAGCACGCAGTAGATATGACAGAAATCATCTAGAAGTACAACTTTTAGGAGAGCCTTTTCTTCTTCTCCTCCCAGCACACCTTTAAGTGGGCCGGTAAACAACAGTACGCAGCACCGCCACTTCTAATCTTGACCTCTCAGCGTACTGGACCTTTTTTTTCTGAGCACCGGTTGTGTTTAGTTAAAATCTCAGAGATTTCTGAAATACATATAAACATCAGCCATCGATACACAGAACATGCACTCCACGAGGGGCTTCATTTTGCACAAAAGGATGCAATCTTTCCAAATGTGTAAAGGATGTGCATCACTGCCACGAGGCACCCCCTTCATACGGCACTATCCCCCCAGGCAAGAGGAGAGAAAAAACGAGACAAGTTTACCCACGCTGGGCATGTTTTCGGAATCACTGACAGCACACAACAACTGACCAACCAGTGACCAAAGTGCCCTCAGGCAGGAGGATCTATGGGGGTGGATAGATGGCATCCAAATAGAAATATTGATCACAAGCACAAGAACAAAAAGAGAAGTGTCAGCTCGGCCTGGGAGCTAGAGGGTTCTGCACAGTATCTTAGCTGTTCCTAGAATAGTACTTTTCTGGACTGAGATGTCTGATGTTTATCCTAGGATCTGCTTTAGCCACTCCTTTAGCTTGGGGGTTACTATGGCCCGATGACCACGGAGACCACCAATGCCCCCTAGCAGAATCCTCTACTGCGTGCAGAGCTGTGCAGCAGCAAGTACGTGAACAAAGACACAGCCTGCTGCCTGCACCGATGCGAGGCTAAAATAACAATTTACATATTTGTTAACATAGCTGTTAAAAAAGCACATGGCCAACCCTCATCTAAGGTATCTGGGATCGGGAATTAGCTCTTTGAGGGAAGCTGGGCTCATGTGGAAGGCAATAACTTTACAGGAAGTC